AGTCATGATATTTGCAGCTAAAATTCCAACATGTTCATTCGCAGAGACACAGACCCAGTGCTCCTGCCTGATGCCTTACCAATGTCCCAAAGAAGAGAGACAAATTCACTGCATCCAAATGGAGTCGACAGGGAGGAGGAGGACAGTCAGTCATTGCATGCTGGCAGCCATGAAGTGCGCTGGCATCAAACTGGAGGTGCTGGAGCAGGGGAGCTGCCTAGTGTAACCCATCAGTTCTCCTGGCAGTCACCATGACCATCCCACCATGGGCAGGCTGAGCAATCCTGGGAACAACCTGGCTAGTTACAAAAGGACAAGTAGATTAAAAAAAAAAAAAATAAAGCTCACTTAACAGATTTTTGGGAGATGAGTGGCAATGGCCTTTTTTTGGTCTGAAAATTGTGGCATTTCACAAGAAGGGCTCAAGTTGATGCAGAGACTCAAATTCTCATTTATTACCACCAAGCCCTTTTTATCCCCTTGTTTGGTACTTTCCCAACCTGCACATACATACAACGTTCAATGTCATTGGCCACTGTGAAACTCTCCAGGTAAATAGTCCAATCACAGTGCTGCAGACACTCTCACAATCCCCACATTCTCTGGCCTCCAACTGAGATTCCTGCCACAAATACATCCTGGCCCGTCCTCCCAAGGCTTGCTCTTCGACCTTCCCTGTCCTTCAACGTTCCAACTCATTGCCCCAGGGCTTGTCAAGCACCAAGGCCTCAGAACTCATTCCCAAACTGTTCTTCATGCAAATCTTATCACCTTCACTCCCCACAGAAAATGACTTGGGTTGTCGGGTACAGGGACTGCTCTCAGTGCTGGTAATTGGATGCGCAGAGGAGGTGTGAAGAGCAAGAGGGCAAGGAAGAAAGAGAAGCCCTACTTCTGGCATTCTGTGGTCCTGGATGAGAATTTTCCTTTCCTCAGCCGCTTGCTGCTTGTCCTTGTCTTTGTGACTGCTGTGCACCCCGCTGACTAGTTATAATCAGAATTTTCCCTTCAACACCCAGGATTTTACAAAACTGAGGTTTAGAAGCCTGACTTCCAAAGAGAAAGCTGAAAGTTAACTTTTTTCACCAGCAGTCAGCATAACAATGAAAATCATGAGAAGTGTCCATTGGTGAATAACTTGTCCTATGTATAAGTGTCCCATCTCACCAGGTGCTGGGCAGGCTCACCTGGGAGCTGGGAGTAGGCTGGAAGCTTTGCATTTCCCTGCAAGAGGTATCAGACCCCTATATGTGGGATGTTGCCAAGCTCCGCAAATCAGCAGCTGGTCTCAGCTGAATGAAGTTCAAGGAAAAGAAGCAATTAATTCTACTGCTAAATAGAATGAAGCATTATGTTTTCTTGCTTAAAACGTGTAGTAAAAATTATTACAAAAGTAAATAGACTTTCGTTTGTAGTTCTACAGCTCTTTCCTCCACGTGAAGATATATACCAATATGCTGGTTATAGCCTAGGAGAGGGTTGCAAATTTGATTGCTCCCAGATTGGTTTTAGTGCCCTTATTTCCCATTGCTGGTTGCATTCTGTGGGGGAATAATTCAGGATGGCTATGTACGCTTTCGTCACAAGAAAGAAAGATCTCTTGCTCCCAACCCTCTAACCTTAATACTATCTTTCCATTACAGAGTGATGAAAATCTGATTCCAGTGTGACTGTCTAGCAATGTTTCTGATAGGAAAATTTCGTCATTTGATAGGTGGATTTTTTTTTCCCCTGATACTTCTCACCATAATAAATTGCCAGATTAAGGTATTTCCTGGTAAACTGAAGGCAGCAGAGAGCTCCCTGGCTGCCACTTCTCCAGCACCTCTGGTCTCGGGGTGGCTGTGTGCTGTGCAAGCACTTGTGTTAAGACTCGTCGTGTTCTCTCTCTTGCTGATGTGGATAACTCCCATTTTTTTTTCTATTTTACAGTTGAGCATTATGGCATAGAATTAAGACATCATCTGCCACTCTCTAATAATGTGAGATTCAGCCATAAACTGAACCCAGAGAAAATATTCAACTTGCTGAAATTAGTGGGAGTTTTGCTGCTGGCTTCAGTAAGGTCAGGACTGAGCTTGCAAGAACGTTGGGTTTTCTGCTGTGCTCTGTCACAGGGGTCCCCAACCCCAACACTGAAGATTGCAGCTCTTCAATGCTTCCTGCAACATCTCTCTTTTTCTTGGATAAGGTCTCTTCTACTGTGATAGCTTATATCAGGTAATGATAGATTTTTCTTGTTTACTGGTGGCAGGAAATGTCATCCCTGCTTTTCCGTTGTAAGCTCTGACTAATGTTATATGCCTTGATGGATCATTGCCTTGCGTCATAAATTGTAATTGGGGAAGATGAAGCAAAGCTGAGCAGAATCTGTCAGAGTAACCAGGGTCACAGAGAAATTACAGATTCTCAAAGAACAGCTTTTTTGGTAATGCAGCTTCTCAAATCCCATCTGTTTGTTCTTAGTGTCAGAAAAGAGGCATTATCCAAAATGAATATAATGAGCCTTTCCACTGAGGCAAAGTTCCATACAACATCACAGCATATATAATTTTTCACTAGCACAAGACTATGTGAAATGTATGTGGAATACACTTACCACAGTGAGACAGCTGAGGCACAATTCAATGGCTGAACAATTATCAGCTGCTGTTGTGGGCTTCGGTATAAATAGTTATTGCAGTTGTAACATAGAATATGAAATTTGACCAAATATAGGAAAGAATTGAATATAATGTTTCTTATAATGTCTACCCTTATGCAACCTCAGAAAGGGGTAATCCAGAATTTGCCTCAATGGTTTGAAGATAAGCAGATATATAGGTTTAAATATCAATCACCACATTTTTGCCAATAAGCCACTGCTTAAGTATAGCAATTAATATTTCCTGTTACAGCTATGACAGAAATTATCTTGTATTAACTCTTTGAGTCCTGATGCATTTATTTCAGCTCCTATGTGAGAGGAAACATCTCTTAATTTAAGAATTAGGTACAAAATATGACTGTGACAATTAAAGGCAGAGATTCTAGATACAGGGAGCACAGTAGAAGACGGGTACCAGAGTTTTTGCTAGTGCCACTTTTGCAGAGACTGATAAACCAGAGACAATCTTGGCCAGTTTTTTCCCACTGGGTTCCTGCAGAATTCACTGCTGTCCAACGCACTCCTGGGCTTGTATTCCAGGGAATCCAGGGATGCAGCTTCAGCAGCAGCATAATTTGTGGCATTCATGGTAGCTCCAGCTCAATGTATTCAGTTTATGTGTATAGTGGAAGAGGTACATGACCTTTCTCCTCACCCAGAGGTCCCTCAACAGTAGGCTTTGGCCAGTTGTTTCAGAAAATGGAGGCCTCAGCTATATCTGTCATAGAACTGACCCAGCCCTGCTGGTGGAACGTTATGGGATAAGCATGCTGCAAATAACATTGTCTATAAGTTAAAACTTAACTAGATTTAATACACTCTTGTCTAAGAGATGTCAATTTCATTATAAGGGGTCTTTCAGCCTGCTCCTGAAGCTCTGTGTGCTCATGTGTGGGTAAGTGTGAAGTATTCTGACATGGAAGATTTTGAGTAAGATGATTTTCCTTCTGTGGTTACTAGGAGTGAGATGCCACTAAAAGGTGGCTAATGATCTTTGGTTGTCCTTTTAGTCAGCTGAGGAAAGAAACAGTCCTTTCTAGGAAAGAAATAGTCTTTCTGTCTTCTTAGGTGGACATCTAATAACAGGCTTGGTGTGTCATGCACTTAAGGTGCCTGTCTTCCTCTGTTGACTGTGAAATGAGCTAGCAGTGTCTATGCCATATGCATATATTTACGCTATAGATGTCTAAAATTGGATTCAATTAATCTTAGCTCTTCTATTTTTAAAAATTAATATATTTTTAAAGTATTTAAATATATATACTGCAATTTGTCTTCCAGATCAGTGCCATTTATATCACTGCTTTTCAGGAATAACTGGCTTCATCCACAAAGGGTGAAAGCTGTTGTGGGGCTTGGCACCTAGGTAACTCGGGGTTAGAGACTGTCTCCCAAAATTCTGCTGAACACTAAATAAGGTGTCTGTACTCCTTCCTATTGCATACTCTGTGAATCAGAAACCATTGAATGTTATTCACATGTGAGTGGAAGAGATGAGCCTGTCCGTATGAGACACAGATAGCCACTGGCAAAATGAGGGTGGGATGACTTTAGTGCATTGTGCTCTACTCATTACCCAATGGAGTTTGGGGCCCAGTTGTTCCAAACCTGGTAATAACCAAACCCAGAGCAGAAGGGGCTTGATTTTAACATGTTGCTTTTTAGATGAAGCCCAGTTGTTTTTTTTTAATTTTTATCAGTCCTCATCTATTCTAAGTTGAGAGTCCCCATCTATTCTAAGTTGAGAGTCAAGGGGTCTTCAGCCTGACACAAATGAGTTTAAAGGAAGACAAGAAACTACTGTAGAGAGGTATGCTAATGTTCCCATTTTGTTTCTGGAAGCTGTTACTTCCCTAATTTGCAGGGTAGCAGAACCTTTAACCCAGCATCATCCTTATGTCATGAACTCATTCACCTAGAGCACACAAGGTAATTCAAGCATCAGGACCTGAGGGCATAAGGCACAGACTAGTTTCCCATGGGGCTCCCCCACACTGCCCATGGACCAGGACACCATTTCAGCCCACTGAGGCCATCAGAGTCTTCCCTGCCTGGCCATGGACCTCATTGTTTGGGATCACTGCCCATGGGGCAATGTCCCAGCCTGGCCTTGGCTTGTCTCCATCCACAGGGCCTGGGCCGCCCAACTCCCTGCATGTATGGGGTGACACACTTGGGCTTCCTGTTGCTGCTTTCAACCCTGGGAGTCATCAGGGAGCCCTGGCCTTTGTGTCACCCTGCCAGGAAGGCAAAGAAGTGCACATTTAGCTGGAAATCATAAGCATGTCAGCAAGTACAAACTATTGTCTTTACTGGGTGTAAACCTCTGTCTCCAGGGACTTTCTGTCTCTGCTGCTTTCTGCTGCTGAGATCTTGCTGAAATAAAGACAGTCTTCTTCTTTTATTATATCCTTGTGCTGGCATAGTGTAAATAGAGCAGATGATAGGAGAGCCTTAGTTTTTCTGTGGTGATATATTACTTTTTACACAACTCAACAAAAGTTACCACACACAAGTGATTGCACATAACTGGGCACCAAATGGAATTTCAAGTCTCTAAGGAAGAAGAAAGTCTTGTCAAATGCTGTCTCAGAGGCTTCATGTCCCAGTCAATGTGACCTGTGAGTTAAAACCCACTCAGGGAGAAAATAAAGCTGATTATCTGATGTTTCCTCAGCACAATGGCTGTTTACTTGCTTCTCATTATGGCTTTCTGACACAGCACTGCAAAGCACCCAATCCATAGTTTGATTACCAGTCTGGAGAGAGAGCTGCAATTAACAGCAGAGCAGAAATTAGATCTGTTCCTGAAAATCAGCTTGGCTAGAAACAATTTAAATTTATAGCATAATAAAACATAAATGGTTGAAAACATTTGGGACTTTTTTCCTCTGATTTCCACAATTAATGTTTACGATTCACATGCAATCAGGGTAATACTGGTTATATACACAGGTGGTATACGTACCATTGCCACAGTGTCTCTCCAGAAATGAGTCACTGAATGTTCTGCCAGTCATTCTTCAGGGGGTGTGCAAGACTGTGGAAGGCCCTGACTGCCTTTAAACCCATTGAAGTTCACCCTAGGAGTGTGATGATTGCTGCCTGCCACCTCCTGCTGTCTTTCAGGGGACCTCAAGGAATAATTGTAACTTTGGACAAGGCAGGTTGGATCCCAATGCATCTGCACAACTGCAGCTGTCAGTGACTGTGGGTAACAACATGCGAGGAAGTTTGGTGTTTCCATTCACTGAGATTATTGCTCAAAATAGTCTGAAGCCCTGAAACAACTGTTCTAGATAACCCATTAAAAGTGAACCATGCTTACAACCAGTGTGGTATGATTTCAAACATGAACATATGCCACATAGTGCTAGATTGCATTACAGAAAAAAGGTGGATTTGGTTCACCACGGCCATGCAACAGGGAAAAACATCCATCCAGAAAAAGATGTATCCAAGTGCTGCAACAGGAGCAGGGACAAATAACTATGACACATACCAGTCAGGCTGCCAGATTCAAAAAGCATGCTTTAGATTTCAGGAGGCAGAAGTGAACTAGCCTTTTGTGAAGTCTGGGAACTAAGGATTTTTTCTGCTTAACTTTGAATTTTTCTCTCATGATAATGACAGTTCTGGAGACATTTGTGTCCTTGTCAAAGTTGCAGAATGGAAGAGGATGAAGTCACATTGCCAGTATTTGGTTGAAAATGTCTAGACTTCTGTGTCCTGGTCTCTGTAATCATGACATTGACATGAATTGGGCTATTGAAAAGATAAAGTCTTCAGTGAGGAATGAAAGGAAACAGCCCTGCAGGTATGACACCTGCTAACACTTGAAAATGCATTAGGTATAATTTTCAAATGCCTTGATTTAGGTCTCACATTTTGAAAGCTAAATTTGATGGTCAGTCCTTGGACTCACAAAAGTTTCATGACTGATCGTTACAAAGCTTTGTGCTGCATATAATGACTTGCTGATTTCATTTCCAGAGGTTTGAAAGGTAGCGATGAGTCTGGCAAGTAAGTACTTATCTTATGAAACCATTCCGGGAGCTGCTGTTATTAACAGTGGTCACCCAAGGAATAAAACTAATCTAACAAATGAATAGCACTTTAGAGTTGAGCCTAGCAAATGGGCTAATTTCCTGGAATTGTACCAGAACTGTTGCTTTATAAAGAAATTGTGCTTAAGATTTTATTGTTCCTGTAAGTTCAGAATATATTGCGAGGGCAGTGTTTTTAATCCCGACTCCCTAGAAGTAGCAGAGTGGGGTCACTGTAACACTGCCAGCATTTCTGTTCCCTGTTGACCAGTCTGGTTGTGTCTGTGTTGCTGAAACTAATGAGGCCCAGGACATAGCCTTCAGGAAAGGGCATGATTATCCCCTGCTGAATTATTGAATATGGTTTTGGTCAGTGCTAGCTAGTCCTTCCCCAGGAGAGCATTTGGGCCCAATTCCACCACTCACATAGGACAAGGACTGTCTCCAGCAAGACAATCGTTTTTGGTCGTAGGGGGTTAGCTGGCTGCATGTGAATTGACCCATACCCCTTTGCCTCTGGGATTGCAAAATGAGGTCTGTCCAATTTTATTTACTGTTATAAGCACTGATTATTTTCTCTTTTCCAGGAACTCATAGACTTGATTTACTTTGCTCTCATTCCTGTATCTGTTTTGAAACTCTCTAGCATGCACCAGGGGCACACAACATTCCAAAGGGTCAATGTTCAGGGCCAGAAAAATGTTCCTCTTTTGAAGTGTAAATGAAACTTGGCAGTAGTGTTTCAATCATTTGGGATGTCTAAATGTGGATGGGAAATTTAAGAAACTGAGATTTTTTTTCGGTATTGGCTGAAACCTCAAGCAAAGTTCTGTATGTTCCTTCAAGTTCTCTTAAGTTAAACCTGAATAGTACAATACCTGGTGGTACCAAATGAGTCATGATAATTATCTTATATCCTTGGTTTAATTTGCAAGGCAATAATTTCTTACTAAGTGCATGTGAAATCCCAAGTTACTTTGTTAGCATCTGCGCATACATGGTTGTTTTGTCTGTGAAATTCCTCTGTGAGTTACTGTGTCAACATTCGCTGTACAACACTTTTATTTACTGTGTAGCAAGGTGAGAACAGCAGTGGGTTTTCCTGTAAATGTGAATTTTTTCTTGGCTGACTCAGTGTGCAGAGCCCTGCCAATAAAAAGCTGCATAGTGGCTGCATTCCTTACTGGTTCGATGGACGTGCTTGGGGGTGTGTGCAGGTATGTGTTTGTGAACATGTGCAAAAACACACATTTACTGGAGGGGCTAAAAATGCTTTAGCACTGGCCAACACCACCACATGCTCCCATCACTGATACTGCCATGTATGTTGCAGTCCCCATCTAGGCTGCAGCTAGCTTGCATATATGAGTATGCACAACAAAGATATTTCACCGAAGGCTTAATCATTTGTGCCCCCAGAGGTACAAGCTCAGTGTCAGGATTTCTGCTTACATTTTAACCTTACAGTACATGTCCTCTCTTTTTAAAATCAACAAGACTTGCAAATACTGAGAAGCATCTTGAGTGCAGCAGCAAAACAACACAAGCAGCCAGTCCTTGCTGGATGCATTTGTGGCTGGCACTGCTGGACCTGGCTCTGTATTTGTGCCACTTCTCAGACTGAAAGCTGGCTGGAGTTTCAAAGCACAGCCCTGTGCTCAAGTTAATCCATTCTGATCTCCCACAGGCTTACTAGCTTAGCCACTGTATTATCCTAGTACAGCTACATGGCCCCCAGATCAGGGTATCAGTGTCCAGACAGCTTAAAGAGTAGATATGCATAGCCTAAAGGCCATCTTTGGGACTTATGGGGATTTGGCCTTCTTGGGAAGGCATCTTAGTAGTGAACTTCCATAAAATTGGGTGAAAGGAAAAGTAGAGAGGAGAAAAAGAATAAAACTTCAATTATTCTGTAGATGTTCCCCAAATTTTCCCACTGAGTGTCACAACACCTATTCCTCTTACTTCAGCCAGTGTTCTAAGGATTAGAAGCAGTCTGATTGCATCTTGGTGTCAGCTTCATGTAGAAAGACGATATCCAGTATTTGTATACTGAGAACAGTGGTATGCACTGAAACAAAGAGGCAATCCTGTTTTCAGGGAGATAGCAGCATACACATGTCCCAGGAGATGATCCAAATAAATCCATTCTCACTCAAGAAATGCCAGCCTTGGTGTTTGTTGTTTTTTTTTCTATTTGGAGAAGATTTGCAGCAGCCTTTGCTGCCACATGTGCCTGGACTAATTGCACAAGTAGAATGCTTTAACCTGCTTTATGCATGTGACAGTACTTACACAGCTCTCCTTGTCATAAGATTTGATCGCCTGAGCAATAGTTCTCAAAATACAAGAACATTGCTTGAGTTTGTCAATTGCCTTTAGATCAATAAGGTCTTGTAGTACAAGCAAGTTCAGTTAGCATTATATATTGTGTAATTATTCCAGAAGCTAATACTACAATCACTGTAGAAGTCTCAGCATAATTGCTGTCAGAAGTAAAATATAAAATCATGACTTTGCTTTACCAGAAGCTAATGATCTAGTCTGGCTAAAAACACTCTGCTCAAAAGCACCACTTACAGGCTGCTTGTCACTGCTTCCCTCTTGCTTAATTTTATTTTGTATATTCACATTCAATACAATTCTTAGAGGCTTGACTATACTAAAAATACATTTGAAGAAGTGCTAAGGTGAGTTGATGGTTTTCCATTGCCTGCTGTGGGGCAGGACTCTGACCCCTGACCAAGAAATGAAAACAGCTCCCTGAGGAATGTGTGCAAGAGAGCTGAGCCCTGAGCAGTTAACATGTCTCCTGAATTTGGCCAGAAGATCCAGGGTGCCAGCACCATCCTTCCTGCTGGTCAGGGACAACTCTTTGGTGTTTTGCAAGAGAGAGAGAAATAAATTAATAGCAGTTTATGTTCCGGTGTCTCCTGTCATACGCAGTAATAACTCTGCTGTTATTTACAGTGGTGGCTCATCACAGTGAGCAATATGGCAGAGCCACAGTGTGGTGGAGCTGGTCTGTAGTAATGTTATGAATATGGTGATGCAAAGGCTTTAGATGGTGACAAGACCAGGGCAGGAGGTTACTGATTAAGCTTCTACTGGGGCTGGAGTCAGAATGCACAAAGCAGCAGTGCAACAGCTCCCAGCTTGAGAGGAACTGGCAAAATCATCAGATATAAAGATCTGCTCCCAGAGAAACTGCAAACGCGTTTTGTCAGGTTATGAACTAGCAAGTGAGGGAAAACAGCAAATTAAGCCTAACAAGAACAGGTATGGGACAGAAGTGTGCTTGGCCAAAGCTGGCTAAAGAAGACAGTAACAGAACAAGAAATAAAAATGACTTCTCAGTGGCAGGGAATAATATACCTTGGAAATATTATTTACACCAGCTTTTTAATGTTTTCACATTATGTTTTTCTTGAGAACATTTTTGGTTTAGTTAGTGATGTTTTGCTTTAGGCAGGGCACTAAAGTGCTGGTCCATTTACATCTGGGAGGTTCCTGAGCAGGCTGCAGATCAGGAAGTGCTTCAGGAACCACAGCCTCCTGCTCCATGTGTCTCTACCCTAGAAAGGTGGAGGACACCTATGGGTGCCAGGGTGTGAGCTCAAAGAGCCAAGAGAAGCACACCAGCGATAGTCTCCAGTGAAAGAGATTTGCAAATGGTAGCTCACACAATTAGTCCTACTGTTGTTAGTTTAACAACACTAGCTTGGTGGACATTACTTGTCCTCCTTCAGTTAGTCTGCAGGTACATATTGGTTCCAAATCTTTTCCAAGCAAGCAGGCTTCCATCTGGGAGCAAACTGGGAAGTTTCTCCCATGTATAGGAAGACAAAGTGTCTATCACTCTTAAGGTGTTAATTTGCTGCTCCCAGATTATGCCATGTTTTACAAATAACCTGAGGCTGCTACTGCTTTGTTCCAGTCCCACTGTATACTTCCCACTTTTTCTTCTGGATTATCTCCTTTCTCCTTTTCCAGCTTGGCATTTTTCAGAAAGGGAGCCTGCTACAGGCCCATTTAAGAAGAAGTCTATCTACCTGTGTTGTCCCTTCAATAGTATTTGAACCTGTTGTCTACCTTTTAACATGTAAGTGAAGGTTAGACATCCCAAAGGTATTATTTATTACCTTTCATGAATATAGGAAGCTGAGTAGAGGAAAATCTATCCTGTGTCTTCCCCAGGGGAAAGGATGCAGTGAAGACTTGTTCTTATTAATTAGAGACTCTAAAAGAAACAAATTTGTAGAAAAATGGGTCTTGATAGTGCTGCTGCTCAGGGGACCATATTTTTGCAATACAGAAACAAAGGCTGAATGGCACTCCACATGCTGGTTCTGTCTACCAAATAGTGTCAACAAGGTGGAATTTTTTTCAGCATTACTGTCCTTGTACCTGCTGCTCTACATCAGGTAAGCTTTTTCACTGAGCAGTTTATGATGGTACCTTCCAAGTCACTAGCCAAAGATGATCCCATGGGTCTGGCTTTTCAGTCTGGATAACAAGTGTACCTTACCTAGATCTGAGTGAAATTTAATCTGCCACAGCATCAGAGCAGCACTTAATTTCCCAGTTAGTTTCTGTCTCTCGGCAGCTACTTAGAGGGTAATATTTTTTTTAATTGAATGTAATTTGCAAAAACTTATCAGCTTGCTGTGAGTTTTCTCCATTCTTTTTCCTTCTTTCTTCACACAATATATGAAACTGTTGGTCCCTCCACACATCCCTGGGAGTATCTCTTCCCGCTGATAACAGTAGCAGATACTGAATGAACATTAAGATGCTCCCTCCTGTGACATATATGCATTGCAGATCTTATTGGATCTGGTATCATTGACTGAGAAATGTGAAAGCATGGCTCTCAGTAGCTCAAAAAAACCCAGTTCCCATAAAAGCCTGTTGTCTGCCACAGAAGTATTCTGCAGCATTCCATTTCTGCTCTTCACAGTTCAGCTGCCCAAAGCTCAGGTCATCTGATATCTAATTCCTCCCAAGTACCCTGACATATGTTGATGTGGCTCAACCAAAAGGAGCATGTGGTCATTTCATTCAGGTAAAACAAAGGGGTTCACCAGTCCCCGCCATGTAAGTTTTGCTAAGCTGATTGACTCTATGGAACCACGGTCCCCACTTTGTTCTGTTCTTCTTAGTGATAATTCATCTCACTTTGTTTTATCACTCAGAAAAAATGTCCTGCACTTCTTTTTTGGTTTAAGAACACTATGGTGATGAGGTGGACAACAGTGACACGGGATGCTTCTATAATGAAAGGGCCAAATTATGGCCAACAGATGTACACACTATAGAGATGAACAAATGATTGCACGGACTGTCATCCCAGCCACTGGTCCTACATGAACCTGGTTTTCCTTCGTTAAACAATCATACTGCTTTGAAGAAAACTTCTACCTACCCACCTTACTTCTTCCTACTGCCCAAGCAGCATTAGACAATCAGCTGGTTGTTAGAAAGAGAAAAAGAAAAGGAATCATGTCTGTTCTAAAATGCTGTCAGATACCCTCAGATTTCCAGGAAAGATGATGGAATTGAAGTGCTTCATGACCTGGAAAAATACATACTGAAACAGCATGTGACAGAAGTCAGGCAGAGAAAGGACTGCAGTTCCACAGGAGGAAGGGAAGCAGATCCTTGCTGAACACCTGCGGGCAGGCAGTGAGAGGAAAAGGGCCTGTGACCTACAGGGAAGGAGCTGACTGGGCTGAGAAGCAGGAGGGGAAAAAAGATGGAGTGAGTTGTGGGGAGTGAAGGTGATAAGATTTGCCTGAAGAACAGTTTGGGAATGAGCTCTGAGGCCTTGGTGCTTGACAAGCCCTGGAGTGATAAGTTGGGGTGTTGAATGACAGGGAAGGTCAAAGACCAAGCCTTGGGGGGATGGGCCAGGATGTATTTGTGGCAGGAATCTCAGCTGGAGGCCAGAGAATGTGGGGATTGTGAGAGTGTCTGCAGCATTGTGATTGGACTATTTACCTGGAGTTTTACAGGGGCAAATGACATTGAACGTTGTACGTATGTGCAGGTTGGGAAAGTACCGAACAAGGGGATAAAAAGGGCTTGGTGGTAATAAACAAGGATTTGAGTCTCTGCATCAACTTGAGTCCGTGTTGTGAAATGCCACAAATGGTGCCCACCACGTGGAGCATTAAAACCGACTAGTTGTCGATCCAGTGGCATGGCTCAGCCGAACTGCTTGCTGAATGTGAACAAAGGTGTATGCTGAAAAGAAGCGAATTCAAACCATACAGATTGCCTCTCGCAGGATAGGGATAATTGGCTTAGAATTATGGGGTCTGCTTTAACAAAAGAGCAGGGAAATGTTCTAGAAGTCTTTGCTATGATTCTTAAGCAGTATGGGAAAAAAGTTGACAAGGAAGAACTGAAATGTATCCTTCTCTGAGCATCCAAAGTCAATCCATCTATTAAGTCCACTAATATTTATACCCTGGAGATCTGGGACAAAATTGGTGTTAATTTGTGGGACTGTGCTACAATGATGAAGTTGCTGCCACTTTTTTGAGCCCATGGTGAGTTATTTCTGAAACTTTAAAACCTCATGCCGGCTCAAAAGCACAGGAGGCAGAAGCAGCACCTTCGTCTCCCTCACCACCACCCTCTTTGCCGGACTCTGCTGTGAGATTGAAAGGTCAGTCTGCTGTTCCTGCTCCTGTAGTTCTGCCGCCTAATAATTCTGATGCTGACCTGGATGGTCCTTTTGACCATGTGGATCAAGAGAAAAGGAGCCTGATTTATATCCCCCAGATCCTTATGACAAATGGGCAGCTGTAAAGGGAGAAGCGAGATGAGTGGGGGATGTAGATAGATTGTGTGCTTTCCCTGTGCTGTATGTTCCAGATCAAGACCCACAGTGAGAAGGTCTCTCCTATGCTCTTATCAAAGATATCAGGCGAATGGTGGCAGACCATGGACTTGGAGCCCCATATACATCTCATTTGGTAGAGTTTCTCTGTGATACTAATGTAGTAGAAGTTGGCGAATACAAATATGTCCATGCTTCTGTTGACCCTTGGAGACCTTTCTAGATATGGCTAGCCACTTCTTCCGACGTCGGCTGGCCCCCTGCGTTGGAATGAGTGTGCATTTTGGTCAGTATAAAAGCCTGAGCCTCATGCGATGTGTGGGGGGGGAAGAACCTAATATCACCCAGGGTCACCGCTGCATCCATGGGGACACCTGCTAAGATTGAGCTTGCCACCTCACACTGTGGTGATGCTTCTCAGAGCTGGTTTCCTGGAGGTCTTCACAGAGTCTTTGCGCCACGTTATGAACACAGGGCCGTGTAGTGGTGGTAACGATTATCTGGATTTTGTGTTTCGTACATTGTAATTCTGTGGAGTGTGCTTGTGGGATCCCTTCCCTCTGTGTGTGTGTGTGTGTGTGTGTGTGTGTGTGTGTGTGTGTGTGTGTGTGTGTGTTGAGGGTAGACAGTGTTCTGTGTATTTTTTGTTGTTGGGTTCGCGTAGAAGTTTTTAATGGGGGGCGTAAGCAGGTAGTGAGGCCCCTTTAGTTGTTTAATAACCATGTTCAAAGGAAGCTGCCCTCCGATTTGTCTCCCAGCCTAAAGAGCGCCTTCAACATGCTGGTCGCATGGGAGGAGGCCTGCTTAGTGTGTTTAAAGTAACCTGGGGTGAATCTGAGACTTGGAGGAACAGATGGATCACTTGAAACAAGAACTGCTAACTGAAAAAGTGAGAGGGGCAGCGCAACCACAAGCTTTATCAGCCATCACCCAAGCAGCACCAGGGTGGCAGAAGAAGAAAAAAAAAAGAACGAGACAAGGCAGCCATGAAAAAGGAAGGAGCCAGCGCAGCTCCTGTTTCCAACCTGCCTGGGCCTTTAACTGCAGGTAATGACACAGCAAATTCCTTGACTGTTAACACTGTGCAGTTTAATTCTTCAGCCGCTTCGCATTCCTTTTGTATCAGAATGCCTCTGCTTTAAGGAAACACTTTAACCTGTCTCCTTGTCAAGAACTGATAACCTGGGGGAGGGGGTATATTTGTGTCCTCCTACCTACAGGTCCATGGCAGCTGCCTGCAAAGTCTGTCAAGCCACACCATGGACACACTGATGGAAGAACCCGATGCCTCCGCTACAGGAGCTGACAGCGAATACCCCGAGCAGAAAGAGATAGAGGAAGAGAAAAACAAATGATTGCAAAACATCACTTGGGGGCAACTGGAAAGTAACAACTTGAATATGTGTGCTTGTAACGTAGCTATTAGAGGCTGTGATTTTGTGTATAAAACCACCTGTATTTGCTAGCCAGTTGCTAATAAGAAACTACACCTTGTATTGTATGGATTTGTCCCTTGTAATAAGAGATGTTAGAGCATGCAAATTTTCTAATATGATGGTAGTGTTATAAGCAGGTATTGATAGCAGATACATAAAACAAAAAAGGGGGAGTTCAGGGTTAACCGCACAAGAACATATAATGAAAGTTTTTATGCTTTGAATTTTTAAATAGCTGGACAGAGGATGGACCTCCTATACACCTCCATTTGGGGGGTTCTAAGAATTTTGAACAGGGGAAAGCTCATGTTAAAGTACGTAATCTTGAAACTCATGAATGGGAAGGCCTGTTTCCTTTAATAACCTGAGGACAAGGGCATGCTTGTGTTTCCACAGATAAAGAACCTTGTTGGGTCCCTGCACGATGGGCTTGTCCTGCCTTGTCTTCTGTCTCTTCATCACAAGAGGACTGACCCTACCGTGCTTTCCTGCCCAGCCAAAAGAGAACATCTGTAGCCAATGTGACAGGACAAGACACCCTGTTCCTGTTGGTTGCCACATGTATGAGTCCTTTCAGGCTGCTGTTGGAAGCAATGGCAGCCTCCAATCCTGTGGACACATTGGATGGCTGGAGGGTATAACAACACAGTTATGAGCTGTTTCTTAAGCAGGAATTCTCAACATTTCTTAAAGGCTTGTGCTGGATTTTTGCATTTCCCTTTGTTTGAAGACATGAATCACCAAGTCACTATTTTTATGTGTTATCTATCAGGAAATTTCCAGGTGATTCTCTCTTGCCTCTAGCAGATACAGAAGGTATTGATACCCAGTGGGATCATGGTCCAATCACGTTGTGCCAGTTGCCCCAGGAAAAAGGCTAGAAATTGTGAAAAAAAAAGTTTATAGTAACCAAGGTGCAAACATCTGTCTGCTCTCCAAACATGATACTCCTGAGCAAATAATACAGAGAAAACTGATCAAATTAATCTGGCTTTTATTCTACTTGTTTTCATCTATAAGATATTCACAAATATTCATGATTTTGCTCAAAACCCAAAAAATTGTTGTTAAGTTCCAGGTGGCATAAGGTTTATGAGATCTTTTCTATTAGTGTGGTGTCAACCATCTCCAATATAGCTTGCCCAGGGAGAAGGAATCTCAAGGCAAAGCATGCAGCTCCTGCTCTGTCTTAATCCTCATTGCCAGCAACACGGAAAGCAAAGCTGTTCCAGCTCAGCACAGAGATTATGTGAGGAAGCTACAGGTACAAACATGATAACCAAGAGAGATGATTTATCTGGTAGGTATTTACTGATAGTGAGAAATAAAATCTGTCACTTAAAAAGCACACAGGCTTCCTGCTGATAGTACTGCACTTCCTTGATCACCTACTGGCTATCCAGCCCTTTGCCCTTGTTTGCGTCTGAAAATAGTCAGAAGAGATAGGACTGGCACCTGAACAGACTTGCAGGGTACACCATATGTGAGCAAAGATGTCACTGTCTGACTACTCTAGGCAGCATGCCTAGCTGTCTAGTGTCTAAGGAAGGGGCTGTAGGAACAGTTGTAGGAGATTGTCCAAAGGTACCTCCAGGAGGACTGCATGTGGAGTGTCTCTGTTTCTGTGAAGATACACTTTCCCTGATAGCTGCCTTTGAGAAAGTTTTGTGTGGTGGAAGGCTTCTGTGTGCAATGGTCTGTAAGCAAACTGGTTTTGGCGCAAGCATAAATGCAACTGAGCTACCTGAGCTTACAAATGTAGCTCAAGATGATATAGATGACAATGTAAAATGATAATTTTCATTACATGGTTCAATAGTTCAGTGTACAAGAAACTGCATGCAAAGAAGTTTTCTCATTACTTAAAGCTGGCTTTACTATTAACGCACATTGTGTTCACCTTTAAGAGCTTCAGGCTCAATAACAGGTTTAATACTGTTCATACTGTTTGCTCCGCTGAATAAGACACAGAGGAAGAAGATATTTTATTAAAAGAGAAGAATCATACGTCTTATTCTGTATAGCTTATTCCTTTTTTTTAAAAAATCTAAATCTACTCCACGCATGCATACGTTCGTGTGACTTTAATAAAAGTGTATTTACAATGTTAGACACTGTAACCCATCACTATAAATGCCACTTTGGCAGTCGCACTTCAGCAATATTTTTTAGTTATGATGGAAACGTGAACTAAGCTTGCAGTGCTCAGTCTGGGGCCTAAGGAAGACCCCTGTCATGAGCAGTAGTGGCAAGTGCAGCTCTGCCTAATGAAAAGCTTTGGGCCCTGATTCAGAGCCCACCAGAAGCAATACACACTCTCATCAGCTGCAGAGGACTGCACAGTAGAGCTTACATTTGATAGCGCAAAGTTTAAAGTATGTCCTGCCCATGAGTTGACACATTTTGACATATCCCATGGCAACAAGCAAAATGAACCATAACATATCTTATTTGCTTTGTACCTCGCAGGGCCTTACGCTGACAAGGGTGACAGTCTTCCCCTGGCATCTGAGCTTCCCAGCCTCACACTCGGTCATGGTCCGATGGGCAGCAGAACCACCCACTTCAGCACAGATCTGGATGCCTCCCTCCTCGCATGGCCCATCTTTGTCACAAACACAGCTGTTGGATTGTGCTAAGTAAAAGCACATAGGAAAATACTCAGGATGGCAGCCGACTCAACAAAAAGCAGACTAAAATATTCACAGCAAAACTGCAGGATTAACAGCAATTTTCTGGAGGGTACAAGAAAGCACAAGACATGGCCGTGTTGGAGTGGGTCCAGAGGAGGGCCACAGAGATGATCAGAGAGCTTGAGTACTTCCCTTCTGAGGTCCTGCTGAGAGAGTTGGGGCTGTTCAGTTTGGAGAAGAAAAAGCTCAGGGGAGACCTTATTGTGGCCTTTTAATACTTAAAGAAATACTTACAAGAAAGACATAAGAAAGAACAGACCTTTTAGTATGACCTGTAGTGATAGGACAAGGGGTAATGGTTTTAAACTAAAATCAATTTGGTTCAGACTAGATATGCTTTTTATGATGAGTGTGGAGAAACTCTAGAACAGGTTTCCCAGGAAGGTGGCAGATTCTTCTTCTATGGAAACATTCAAGGTCAGGCTGGGCAACGCTCTGAGAAATGTGATCTAATTGAAGATGGGAATGCCATCCAGAAGGACCTTGACATGCTTGTGAGGTGGGCTGATGCCAACCTTATGAAGTTTAACCATGCCAAGTGCAAGGTCCTACACCTGGGTCGGAGGGATCAGTCCCTTTGTTAGGGACTGCAGTGATAGGACAAGGGGTAACGGGTTAAAAAAAAATAGGGGAAGTTTAGATTGGATATAAGGAGGAGGTCTTTACTGTAAGGTGACGCACTGGAATGGGTTGCCCAAGGAAGTTGTGAATGCTCCATCCCTGGCGGTGCTCAAGGCCAAGCTGGAGAGAGCCTTGGGTGACATGATTTAGTGTGAGGTGTCCCTGCCCATGGCAGGGGGGTTGGAACCAGATGATCTTAAGGTCCTTTCCAACCCTAACTATTCTATGATTCTATGTCGCTGCTCATTGCATGGAGGTAGTGGACCAGATGGCTTTTAAAGGTCACTCACAACCCAAATTATTATATGGTTTTATGATTCTATAATTCTGTGATTAAAGGAATAGAAACAAAGAAGCCATACTAGAGGACCAGTAAGCTGAGAGAGTTGGGGTTGTTCAGACTGAAGAAGAGAAAGCTCCAGAAATAATGTATTGTGGCCTTTCAGTACTTAAAGGGGGCTTTTAAGAAAGATAGGGACAGACATTTTAGCAGGGTCTGAAGCAATAGCACAAGGGGTAATGGTGTAAAACCAAAAGAAGTTAGATTTAAACTAGATATAAGGAAGAATTTTTTTATGATCAGGGTGGTGAAACCCTGGAGCAGGATGCCAAAAAAGCAGGTTGCCCAGAGATGCTCCATCCCTGAAAACATTCAAGATCAGGTTGGACAGAGCTCTGAGCAACCTGTCACTGCTCAGTGCAGGGGATTGGAATCCTTTACAGGTCCCTTGCAACACAAACGATTCTATGATTGCCATATTTCTTTTCCTAACCAGAAGCAATATTAGCTGATATTCAGGTTCAGTGGAAAAACTAGAAGTGGAAACAAGGGGTGCACTGCTGGGGCTCCATCTGTTTCAAGGGGCTGATTGTTCTTACGGGAAAAGCTTGCTCAAGGTTCCTGAGATATTGCTCTCAAAGCATTCTTTGATGTTACTGCTTGAACTGGTTCATGTAGCTACTGTTCCAGAGTTTGGAGAACATGTAAGATGAGTGATCTGTCTTTGGACAGCGACAAACTGATCATTCCAACACTTACAAGTGGTATCTTTATTTACATACAGGCAGTTTCACTAAGATCAAAAGATCTAGTACTACAAATAAATGTGTGTAATTGTACCAGGGACAACAGATAAATAATCAGATAAGAAGAAGGTCCCATCTGAGATTTGTTTTTCATAACTATGTCTTTGTTCTGGTATTGTACTTTTTTGGTTTGTGGTTTTTTGTTGTTTTTTTTTTTGCCTGTATTTGTCTCTGCTGAAGCTCCAGTCAGTTTTTATAAACTTTTTTTTATTATTTTTCTCTGTTCAACCCTGTTACACAAAATAGGTGAACTCCCTGTCAAGTATTCATTTTTATTTTCAAAATACGACAATAGCTACCTTTATCTGGGCACTTCTAAAAACCTTATTTACTTCTTTATCTTTCCATTTCAGGCAACCCTCCATTAAATGCAATGTAGTGTAGGACACTCAGGGAAATTAGATCAGGGAATCTGAAAACTTCCACAGCAGACAGATTGCAAAAGGCTAGGACTATTTCCTCTGAGGGAAGAGATATTCACCTTTGATCATAATATGAGAAACTGGAGATAGGCAGTGAAGTACTAACAAAAGTAGCTGTCCTAGCTAGTGTAGAATAAGACATTCAGTTCCTTGTCATAAGATACTGCTGAGGGGACTACTCAGCTTCAGGAGAGGATTCCTGTGGCAGTCAGGACTCCCACAATTGCTGTGTTAAGGAATTCAAAACCAGTGGATACAGTGAATAAAGAGGTGGATAAGGGTTTCACCTCAGAATTCCAGAGTATCAACAAGGTAACTTGCTTACAGGGACTAAGAATAAGCTTTTTGTGTAGATAGTGCATTTTGTTACAATATCCTGCAGGCTTTTCTTTTCCATGGTTGGAGCTTCCTGCCAAGATTGGGCACCAAACATTGAGCTGATGGTTTGAATCAGCTTAGCCATGCTGATGCTTCTAGGAAGAACTGGAGATATCTAGCTTGGATAGACCTACAGCTAATCTGTAATTGGGGAAAAAGATTTCGTTTTGATCATATAAACATTTTTTGCTTATAATTGCAAAGAATCTCTTACCATCACATTTTTCCCATGGACGGCACAATCCACACGATATCTCAGCTGCCTGAGGTACTTTGCAGTTTTCTTCATCAGTAAGAGAATATTTTCTGCCCATGCACTCCAAGGCATGCATCTTGCAAACAGTTAAATGTGTGTTTCTCTTGGTTCTTTGATCTGTAGCACAGGTGTCCAGAGAAGGACTGGAAACAGAAGCAGGGATTGAGCTATTTACATGTGCTTTATCTTGGTACCCCTTGAAAAGACCTGAGGGAGTGGAAAATATTTAGGATCCACTTCAAATTTCCCTGTTCACTGAAGTATATCCTAAGAGTGCAGCAAGGAAACTTGAGACATAGACATGTGAGTAATTCAGACTCATTTCTTTGTCTCCTCAAAAGGACAGGAATACTACTTGGTATTTGCCATTGACCTCAGTAGCAATGAGAGCAGGACTTCAGTTAAAAAGAGTTCAGCTCTCCTTTATTCGGTAATATACTATATATGCACACACCTAAGCAGATACAGAAAACATTTCATTTACATATAATGATACACACACACAGGAACATATATTAAAATATTTTGTAACTGTTTCTTAATTGCAAGACATTAGAATACACTTAAAGACTTTTTCTCTGCTGTTCTTTAAAAGCCTCAGCTTTTACTGAATAAAATATTATGATCCAACACCAGAGACCAAAGATACTTCTGGAAATCCTCATACATCTCCACAAAAAATTTATGAAAAATCTGCTCAAGTTATCCAGGGAATTTGTTCGTGTATTTTTTAACATTCAGATATTGTTCTAACACCTGCAAAAGCTAAACCTTAAACAATGTTTGCTCTGGGGACAGTTAAAGGAAGTCATCATCATTTGTGTTTCATGCTTCAGTATAGGAGGGGAGGAAACAGCCATTCCACTATTTCTGGACTTTAATGTCAAATCCAAAGCTTCTCCACTTGTCCTCAATGCAACCAGTGGCATCTGTGTGATTTGAATAAAAAAAGTGCCTCTCTGCAGCAGGGCATGCCTGGCATCTCCTGGGCATTACAGCCACAGGTACGGTGCTGTGTAGGAGAGATGAGAGACAGGCTCCAAGGGGATGGAGGGCATTGAAATACAGGCATTGAAATACAGCTCAGCACAGCTCCTCCTTTTGAGCTCACAAACACTCCCACAGAAACTTTAAGTGTCTAATGTGTCAGTTCTGAGGGTGAACCTCAACTAAACAGGTGTTTGTTGGTGAGGAAAGGCTGATGAGGAGCAGGCAAATGGCCTTAATGAGCTTCAGAAGGCTGCCTGAAGGGAAGGGTATTTCCCTGTGAAAATGGCTTGTCAAAGCATAGAAGACAGATTTGGAAGAAGGAAGTCTAATAAGAAAGCCCTGACTCAAACCTTGCTCATTTGTTGGCCAAGTGTTTAGGTGTTTTGTTTTATTTGTTGGTTGGTTTGTTTCCCTGGGATTTAGGAAGGTAGTTTTGATCTATAAATAGGCCACTGAGGAAAAGCGCCTGCTCCAAGCTTTGGGGATGGTCCTCTGAGAGATGGTTCTGAAGACTCAAAAGAGCTAACTTTACAGAAAAGCAAATCAAGGAATTAATTCAACACATCCCATAGCCAAGCAGGTATTCAGTCATCCCCAGGCCAGCAGGGCTCCATCACGTAATGGTTACTTGAAAAGACAAACACCATCATTCTGAATGCCCCCCACTTTCTTCTTTATATGCTGAGCATGACATAGTACAGTGTGGGATATCCCTTGGCTCCACTGGGGTTTGTGTCCCCTTCCAACTTCTTGTGCACCCACAGCCTCAGGTGGGGTAAGGAGCAGAAAAGGCCTTGACTGTGTAACTACTGCTCAGCAGTAACTAAAACATACATGCCTGTATTATCAATGCTGTTTCCAGCACAGATCCAAAACATAGCCCCATACTAGGTACTGTGAAGAAAATTAACTCTACCCCAGCCAATATGCAGCACCTAGCATCTGATAAAGGCCTGTGCATTTGTCTGCATTATACTGTTTACTCGTTTGGTTGCAAAGACCATGACTGCACCGATTTGTAATGTGAAAATTATCCTTACAGACAGGTATAGGAAAAACTACATCTTTAAATATCACCTTCAGTTTGGAAGAACAAGTGTGATCCAGTGAAAACATCTACTCTGTAATTAAGTTGTTTACTGTAAGTTGTTCAGAGGCCTTCTTTATTTGCCTGAGTAATAAATCTCAGCACCTGAGTCTTAAAGTCAAAATCTTGTACACAAGGCTACGTAATTTAGCTGGAAAGATCAAGGCCAGGTACAAGTGCACTAATCTCTTTGCTTTTCCCCTTAGCAACACCCAAAAGAGGGGAAGGAGGCTGATTCAACCAGCTTCAAAGGTTAAATGCAGGAGCTCATGGTCCATGTTGCCAATTTCTTGCTGCAGTATAATCTCTCAAACTGTCTTGAAAGTGCTTCCCGTGTTTGCTACAGCTGGGGCAGCTGGCAGAAAGCCAGTGGAAATCAACATGTTTAGATGAGTAAGAAAAAGGAGGGAGAATCTGTACCCATAAGAGAAATTTGCACCTATTACAGGGCTGGGAGCATCTCAATAGTGCCAGAAAAATGATTAGAGGTAAGAAAGAATCTTCGTGTAAAGTGAGAAATTCAGTACCTTTTACCTGAAAAAGGAGGCTTTGATAAGAACAAGCTTTTACTAAAGCACATATCATGAGAAATGGAATAGCATATATAATTCAGCAAATACTTTTTCTCTCTTTCACCTACAATGAGAGGCAGGCAACTCTTGGTGAAACTAAACAGTGAAAAATTCAGCATCCTGGAAATCATTTTATCTTCTGAAATTGTATTCAAGACCCTAAGTTTTAATACAAAACAGGCCAAGAACTCTTAGGAAGACATAGGTGCTACACAAAGTAAAAAAGAAGGGCTAATACTTAAAAATTATCAAATCTTATGTTTCACTGTGGATATAGTCTTTAGCTACCAGAAATCTGTATTAACACACTAACTGTGCTCTGACCTCTTCCTTTCACAAGGGTAAACTTACACAGAATAGTTGGTGTCTGGAGTGCTAAATTCTCTTTGTGCCTAAAAGATGAGGACTGCATCAGAGTGGAATGGTCCTGACCTTAGTAACTCCTGTGCTGTGCCTGGGAATTATCCAGTAGTTGGCCCAAAATCTTTACAAGTGGCTGCTTTAGCAGTTTAGAAGCTCTGGTACCCAGAATCATTCCCTTTCTCTAACTGATGAGGACAAATGTAGCCTAAGGCACTACATCATCAGCAACAAATTTCCCCTCACCAGCCTGTTGGGGTTCTTGTGCTGTCCCTGGAAGTCTCAGTTGCTAGTGTCTTGGAAACTGAAAGGATCTATGATGGCTCTGATTCCCAAATTCCCTCACAAAATCTTGTTTCCAGCACTCTTCTGAGCAGAGGCTGGTGCTGAAAGTCACTGCCACAGCAAAGCAAGCCAAGTTACTTCTGGTCTCTGAGGAATGATCAAGATCTGCTTCCATGCCCTATTCCTACAGCCTTACAGTCTGGCAGACTGGTCTGCTTTGACAGCTGATGCTTTATCCTTCTATTATTAGATGTCTTATTTCAAGACAGAGTTAAATAGACAGCATCAGCTAACAGAAATGACTGTTATCTTCCTGCCATTCTGAACATAATTATTAAAAAATAGAAACAGGCAAGAGTAGATTAATTATAACTGAAACCTGAATGCATAACTGAATGTAATTCATTCAGCTTCCAAGGTTATTGTGTCTCTGCCCAAGGCTTGCCCTAGCACTGTGAACTCCTCTCATCTTCTATGTAACTAATCTCATCACACCCATGAACTAGAGGAGGGGTTGTTTCCTCACTTTAATGAGTTTTGAAACAAAAAGAGTAGGACCAGATTATTTAAAATATTTAGCTGTTTGTTTAAGGACAGAATAGCCTTAGCAGAGTGCTTACAAACTGAGTTTGTATTGGAAACTCCAATATTATGGCTGAGGTGAGTAGCTCGAGAGAGGACACCTTCAACACCTGAGCAGGGGCGAGATCAGCGTCCAGGAGCCTCAACTCCGAAAGGCGAGAGACACCGAGGGAGCCTCAAGCCCTCGACGGGACCTGCCCAGGAGCCGGCAGCTCAGCTGAGGCGAGCAGGGACTCACAGCGGGCGGAGCCAGGAGGAGCGGCACCAGCCCTGAGTGGGTAAAAACCTGCCCCAGGGAGCGCGACCGAACAGGGGGCAACGGCGGGCAAACAGGTCAGGGCAGTTTGCGAGGGCCACCAGAGCGGGGATGGTGAGCACTCGCCGTGTGAGCAGGGCCCGGTCCGGGAGCTCTGCTCTGGCTGCCCCGGCGGTGGCCAGCGTAGGCACCCAGACAGAGCCGGTGGGAGGGGAGGCTGCAGTGCAGAGCTCAGGGTGCAGAGAGTGCCTGCACTGGTCTGGTGAGGGGAGGGTGCACAATGGGCAGCGCTGCACTCGGTGCTCCCTGGTGGAGGTCCTCCTGCAGCAGGGGCTGAGCTGCGAGATGCTGTCAGTAGGCTGCGAGATGTCAGGGAAGCTGAGAGGAAGCAGGAATGCTTGCTCCTGGCCCAAACTGTGCAGGGGCCTCAAGAGTCCCCTGTAGCTCATGGAGGAAAGAAGGAGGCCGTTAACCCAGGAAACTGAGAAACCGTAACAAAAAAAAAACAACATAAAAAGGAGGAAAAGGACAATTAAAAGCAAGGGGCTTCCTCTTAAATCTGTTGTCCCCACTCAGAACCACTTTGAGGTTCTGCAGGGGGCTAACAAGGAAACACACTTGCACCATGAAAAACTGGCTGATGCACTGGTAAAGAAGATCACTACTGGTGCTGCCAGGAAAAAGTGGTGGGTCATAGTAGTAGGGGACTACTTTGCCAGGCATAGAGGCACCCATCTGTCAGCCTGACCCAGTCTCAAGGGGGGTGTGTTGCCTACCAGGGGCACGGATCAGGGATGTTGCAGAGAGGCTGCCTGGTCTAGTGAGTCCCACTATTACCCACTTTGTGATCCATGCGGGTGCTAGTGATATAGACAGCAGTAGCCTGCAGAACATTAAGATGGACTACAGAGCCCTGGGAGAGGTGGTTAGGGGCTCTGGAGCTCAGACAGTCTTTTTATCAATTCTCCAGGATAAAGGGGAGGACTTAAAAAGGCTAGGAGGATTGGCCAGGTTAATAAATGGTTAGAATGGTAGTGCCATAGTCAGGGGTTTGGGTATTTAGAACATGAGACTCAATGTGAGAGGCCAGGTCTACTGCGGGCTGGCGGAGCTGGTTTTGGTAGGAGGCTTGCCAGGCTGGTCAAGAAAGCTTTAAACTAGATGTGTTGGGGGAGGGGGCATCATTCCATCCCAACACACCCAGTCAGTTGCCAATACCTGTAATAAATGCTTGGAATGATGCAGAGATATTTCAGCCCCTCTAACCAATGACTCGGCTTCATTTGGAGTTTGGCTCAAATGCCTTTCTACAAATGCCCATAGTACGAGGAATAAACAAGAGGAATTAGAGATGTGTGCATGTCTATGGGGGTGTGATATAAAATGGTGGGATGGCTCCTATGACTGGAGTGTTGGAATGGAAGGTTACAGGCTCTTTAGAAAAGACAGGCCCAGCAGGCGGGGAGGGGGAGTTGCTATTTATGTCACTGATAGGCTGGAGAGTATGGAACTCTGTCTGGGGATAGGTGAGCAGTCAACAAAGAGTCTGTGGGTCAGGGTCAAAGGGAGAACAGCGATGGGGGACATTACAGAGACGATCTGTTACAAACGGCCTGATCAAGAGGACTCTGTGGATGAAGTGCTCTATAGACAGATAGGAACAGCGCCCTTGTCCTCATGGGGGACTTCAACCACCCTGACACCTCTTGGAGGGACAGTACTGCCCAGCACAAGCAGTCTAGGAGGTTCCTCGATTGTGTGCAAGACAACTTCCTTCTGCAATAGAGGAGCCGACAAGGAGAGGTGCCATGCTTGACCTCGTGCTCACCAACAGGGAAGGGGTGGTTGGAAATGGGATGCTCCAGGGCAGCCTTGGTTGCAGCGATCATGAGATGGTCGAATTTGAGATCCTCAGGAAAGTGAGAAGAGCATGCAGCAAGATCATTGCCCTCAAATTCAGGAGAGCAGACTTTGGCCTCTTCAGGAACCTGCTGAGTAAGGTTCCATGGGATATAGCCCTAGAGGGCAGGGGGGCCCAAGACTGTTGCTTGATATTCAAGGATCACCTGCTACAAGCTCAGAAGTGTTGCATCACAACTGGAAGGAAGTGTGGCAGGAGGGCCAGGAGACCTCCTTGGATGGATAAGGAGCTGCTGAGGAAACTTCAAATGAAAAAAGATGCTTATAAAAGGTGGAAACAAGGACAGGTGGCCTGGGGAGAACACAGGGATGTTGTCCGGGAAGCTAGGGACCAGGTTAGGAAAGCTGAGGCCCAGTTAGAATTAAACTTGGCTAGGGATGTGAAAGATAACAGGAAGGGATTCTATAGTTACACTGCAAATAAAAGACAGAGTAGGGACAACATGGGCCCTCTCCGGAAGCTATCAGGAGAACTGGCTACCCTGGATTTGGAGAAGGGTGAGGCTCTTAATGACTTCTTTGCCTCACTGGCAAGTGCTCTGACCACACCACCCAAGTCTTGGAGGGCAGACACAGGGACTGTGAGAATGAAGACCTTAGGCCCAGTGTAGAAGAGGATCTGGTTCAAGACCATCTTAAGAACCTGAATGTGCACAAGTCCATGGGACCTGATGAAATCCATCCTCCGGTCCTGAAGGAGCTGGCAAATGAAGTTCCTAAGGCACTGGCCATCATATTTGAAAAATCATGGCAGTCAGGTGAAGTTCCCAGTGGCTGGAAAAAGGGAAATATAACCCCCATTTTCAAGAAGGGGAAAATGGATGACCCAGGGAATTACAGACCAGTCAGTCTCACCTCTGTGCCTGGCAAAATCTTGGAGCAGATTCTCCTGGAAGGCATGCTAAGGCACATGAAAAACAACAAGGCAGTTGGTAACAGCCAGCATGGCTTCACTAAGGGGCAATCCTGCCTGACCAATTTGATGGCCTTCTATGATGGGGTTACGGAACTGATGGACAGGGGTAGAGCAGTTGATGTCATCTACCTAGACTTGTGCAAAGCATTCGACAGGACATCCTTGTCTCTAAATGGGAGAGACATCAATTTGATGGATGAACCACATGGTGGATAAAGAACTGGATGGATGGCCGCATGCAAAAACTTGTAGTCAATGGCTCAATGTCCAGGTGGAGACCGGTAACGAGTGGTGTCCCTCAGGGATCAGTGTTGGGACCGGTCTTGTTCAACATATTTGTCAGTGGCATGGACAGTGGGATTGAGTGCGCCCTCAGAAAGTTTGCCGATGACACCAAGCTGTGTGGTTCGGTTGATACACTGGGGGGAAGGAATGCCATCCAGAGGGACCTTGACATGCTTGTGAGGTGGGCTCATGCCCACCTTATGAAGTTTAACCATACCAAGTGCAAGGTCCTACACCTGGGTCAGAGCAATCCCAGGCACAGCTACAGGTTGGGCAAAGAAGAGATTCAGAGCAGCCCTGCGGAGAAAGACTTGGGGGTGTTGGTCGAGGAGAAACTTAACATGAGCCAGCAGCGTGCACTCTTAGCCCAGAAAGCCAACTGTATCCTGGGCTGCATCAAAAGGAGTGTGACCAGCAGGTAGAAGGAGGTGATCCTGCCCCTCTACTCTACTCTTGTGAGACCTCACCTGGAGTATTGTGTACAGTTCTGGTGTCCTCAGCATAAAAAGGACATGGAACTGCTGGAACAAGTCCAGAGGAGGGCCACGAGGATGATCAGGGGGCTCGCACACCTTTCGTATGAAGGCAGGCTGAGAAAGTTGGGGCTGTTCAGCCTGGAGAAGCCTGTGTGGAGACCTCATAGCAGCCTTCCAGTGTCTGAAAGGGGCCTCTAATGATCCGGGGAAGGAGTCTTCATTAGGGACTGTAGTGGTAGGACAAGGGATAATGTGTCAAAACTTAAACAGGGGAAGTTTAGATTGGATATAAGGAGGAAGTTCTTTACTGTGAGGGTGCTGAGGCACTAGAATGGGTTGCCCAAGGAAGTTGTGAATACTCCATCCCTGACTTTTTTCAAGGCCAGGTTGGACAGAGCCTTGGGTGGCATTGTTTAGTGTGCGATGTCCCTGCCCATGGCAGGGGGATTGGAACTAGATGATCTTAAGGTCCTTTCCAACCCTAAATATTCTATGATTCTAAGGCCTTTGCATGCAGGACAATGGCCTCAGACTTGCATGCAGGACAATGGCAAGTGCCCAGTGGATCTATAAAACCTGAAATAACCCCACCAAGCTGAATTCTGAAATGTTCAAATTGTGATAATTTGGGCTTAGAACCAGCTACCATGCAGGGCACTCTTGAGCTATGTGGCTGATGGAAAGTACACATCCTCTACTAAGAAGTTCTGCTACCTTAAGTCACTTGAGAAGACTGCAAAATTTCTTATTCCCACCATGCAAGGATAAGAAAATTTGGTCTGTTATCCTTGGATATCAATAATCACTTGTTTGGAGTTTCCAAACTCCTCAGCTCCTGCTGTGACATAAACCTGGCCAGATTTCTTATCTAGAACTCACACCCACTTTATAGGAGACTTCATCCAGTCTATGCAAGGCAGACCAAACGTGCTGAGCTCTTTGACACGTCTGACCATCAGCACCAGGTGGTCTCAGGAGTCCTGTTACCTCTATGTTTAGCAAAGAACTGAGAGCTACTGATTTCCTTACATTTCTCCTTCATTGCTTATTACAGAATACAGGCTTAAATCAAACAGGATTGCAGACTCTGGTCTGCAAGTTATGAGGTCAGGAAAGGTGATATGACTGGTCTGTGCATACTGCTGTATAAATGGAAATTAGATTATTATGTCTTTTATAACTCTCCATTCTCTCAGCAGAGGAAAGAAATCTCTTTTATTTCACTACCTTACTGCTGTGATGGTTTATGTCCCAATGGACTCTCTTCTAACTTTTCCTCAATCTTCTAAATCTTAAAAATATCATTTTATCTTTTCCCATCTGTTTCATAGATCAAGTGGAGCTGAAATTATGCCTTCTTCTTCTCTCATTCAACCAAATTCCATCACTGCTAAGACCCACTGACAGCTCTGACAAGGCAGGTAAGTGATGAACAGGACGTTGAGTTGTAAAGCAAACAAAATACAATGCCTCCTCATATGAGTAAAGCTTTCTCATCTCTCATGAACTGAAGACTGAAGGAATTTAATTGGTCTTGAATAAAGTGAGAAATTGATTGCCAAAATCGTTTTGTACTTACCCACACTCATAGGGCATTTTGCACACACATTGCGACTGATGTATTTTTTCCCATGGTTGACATTTAGGCTCTGTCACTTCTGGTTTCATGCTAGGCTCTGAGGTAGAACACAGACAGTGCTATTCAGGGTCAGAAAACACGGGCTGTTAAAGGTCTTCTCTGAAATTATTCTATCAGTTGATCTTAAAAGGCACTGAATTATACAGCCATAACATAAAGTCACATCCTCCATGTTCATTAGAAGTATCTACTGCATGGGAAGAATCAACACTATTAAAAAGATACGATTTACTTTGCAAAGTTATGGCTCGGTAATCTATCCACAGGTCATGAGTCAGATGGAAGGGAACAGGTACTGTGTTCAAGGTTAAACACCCACCTAATTTCTGCGGCAGCTGGTTGAACTGTTGAATTTAGCAGTGCTGAATCACAGCTGGTAACAGCTTTACCACTAGGTTTCAGAGTTACTGGCTTCACTTAAAGAAAACCACAAGTTCCATCATTCATCCTCAATCTGCACTAACTTTAAAAACAAAAGCAATAGTGATTCTTGGGGAACTTTAGTCACTGCACATGTATTATTCTTTGAGTGCTGAGTTATATTTCAAGCTTGAAAATTAAATCAGCCTTTCCTAAACATTCTTCTGGAGATTTCTGTAGGAAGTAATTGCAAGACCTTGCTAAATCTGTAGAGACACACTTTCTGAGAAAGTTTTATCCTGATTTGTGTTTTAGATTACGTGTCTGTAGCTTTCTACTTTAACATGAAAATTTAATACTCCTTAATACTGTGTTCTATAAAACAAACCAAACAAATAAACATCTCTCTTATGGACTAAGACTTGGTAAGCAAAATTGACAGGATTGCAATACAGAGAGCAGGCATAACCCTGTGTTTATGCAGAGGGGAAATTTCCACCAAAAGTCACTGCATTATCTCCATCACTGGGGCTGTTGGTTGCATAGCTGACTGTTACTGACACTACTGCTGACTAAATATTCTTATCCAAATATATGTGTGCCACTGTGTCTGTGTATACACATCTTCTTAATTTTTATGCTTCTTAGCTCATATTTCTTGGGAGTTTTAACTGTTGTTCTAATCTAATTGTTGTCCCTCATTTTCTAAAAAAAACAACCCAAAAAACAACAAAACACAACCCTTTTGTGCTAATGTAATGTTCCCATACAGCCAGACATAAGCTGTTTCTAAAGATGGAAGCATTGGAAATTGTTTTTAATTAATAACTGGAATTTGAATAAAGGACGTAACAAAAAAAATTATGAAAAATCACTCACTAAGGCTAAGCCTAAGGAGTAATTGGCAACAGTACTTCCCTGCTCGTACTTTTAACACTTCAGCAGCAGTGAGCTGTACAGATATTTCTTATGAAATCCTTTATACTTCATGTGGATATGACACAGAGGCAGATGACTTACACTGGAAATCTCACAGGGTCGCTCCCTTTTGAGGTCTAAGCCTGACTGACACCTGCCTCTTACCTTAGGTGAGGTAACCCCAGGCAGCAGTTGCCTGTTAAGAAGATGGACATGAAATGTAGGACACATGCCTAGTCTTCTACAGCAGTGTGTGTTTTCCACAAGCAAGGGTCTCCCCAGAGGTTTGAGAAAATCTGAGACCTTGGGTGAAGATGTGATTAGTTTGAAACAGCAAGCTGCTTGGATGCCTGTATATTACTGATCAGCATCATAGGAGTACTCTAGAGAAAGCCTTGTCTGCCTTTGACAGCTGGAAAAGGTGATTTGAGCTGCTGTATGGTACATAGTCCACTTACCTCTCTGCCAGTGCTTGCTGGTATCAACCCAGGTCTTAAACAGCTGTTACCATGAATTTGAAGCAGCATTTTCCCTTTGCTTCCAGTTAGAAATGTAGAACCGTAAGGGTTGGAAAGGACCTTAAGATCATCTAGTTCCAATCCCCTTGCCATGAGCAGGGACACTTCACACTTAACCATGTCACCCAAGGCTCTGTCTAACCTGGCCTTGAACAAAGCCAGGGATGGAGCATTCACAACTTCCTTGGGCAACCCATTCCAGTGCCTCACCACCCTTACAGTAAAGAACTTCCTCCTTATATCCAATCTAAACTTCCCCTATTTTTTTTTAACCCGTTACCCCTTGTCCTATCACTACAGTCCCTAATGAAGACTCCCTCCCCGGATCATTACAGGCCCCCTTCAGATACTGGAAGGCTGCTATGAGGTCTCCACACAGGCTTCTCCAGGCTGAACAGCCCCAACTTTCTCAGCCTGTCTTCATAGGGGAGGTTTTTGAGCCCCCTGATCATCCTTGTGGCCCTCCTCTGGACTTGTTCCAACAGTTCCATGTCCTTTATATGCTGAGGACACCAGAACTGCACACAATACTCCAGGTGAGGCCTCACAAGAGCGGAGTAGAGGAGTAGGATCACCTCCTTTGACCTGCTGGTCACGCTCCTTTTGATGCAGCCCAGGATACAGTTGGCTTTCTCGGCTGTGAGTGCACACGGCCAGCTCACGTAAAGTTTCTCCTCGACCAACACCCCCAAGTCCTTCTCCGCAGGGCTGCTCTGAATCTCTTCTTTGCCCAACCTGTAGCTGTGCCTGGGATTTCTATGACCCAGGTGTAGGACCTTGCACTTGGCATGGTTAAACTTCATAAAGCTGGCATCAGCCCACCTCACAAGCGTGTCAAGGTCCCTCTGGATGGCATTCCTTCCCCCCAGTGTATCAACCGAACCACACAGCTTGGTGTCATCGGCAAACTTTCTGAGGGCGCACTCAATCCCACTGTCCATGTCAGCGACAAAGATGTTGAACAAGACCGGTCCCAACACTGATTCCTGAGGGACACCACTCGTTACTGGTCTCCAGCTGGACATTGAGCTGTTGACCACAACTTTTTGAGTGCAGCCATCCATCCAGTTCTTTATCCACCATGTGGTTCATCCATCAAATTGATGTCTCTCCAATTTAGAGACAAGGATGTTCCTGGAGATTTACTCTGTATCAGCTGTGTGAATGTCATATAAGCAATAGGAGTCATCCAGCCCTGTCCTTACCTGCCATGAAATGCTGTGACGCACAGATCACCCTCCAGGTAGAAAACCCTTATCTCTAAGGTGCAGCTTACATGTTAGTGGCATTAAACAACATAGGTGGAGGGTAAAATATACTTGGAAAGCAGAATAGGCAGCATACATCCCAGACAATCTCTCAAAATACCGTCAGAGACAATACTTAATAGCAACAGGGGAGTGGGAAGCAAAAAGCTGTAAGGAAACCTCACAAGAAATGTCTTATGGCATCTTTTTTGAACAGCCCACAGAAAACACCCACCCACATTTTCTGTGCTTCCAGCTGGTGATAGAAGTATGCTTCTCTATCACTATATCAGCTATAGCTCTGTCTATATCTTATCTACATAAGACACAGTCTGTCCAGGAAAGAAACTCCTGCACTGCACTTGAAGGACAGCAATGTCTTACCTGGTCTCTTGCACTGGATAGTCTTCAAGGCAGGAGACCACTTGAGACTGGGCTCGCACAAAATGGAGTGTGCCCCTTCTAAGTGCATTCCATGTGGACAAGACAGAGTTATTCTCTCACCGATCTCATACGCAGGTTTCCATAGCTCTCCTTGCAAGCCCCCCTCAAGGACGGGAGGAAGACAAGCAGTTTCTAAGGATTGAAGGATTTGAGATAGCCACAGTGAAATCAGTGCATTGCAGAAAGCAGTCACATCATTTATGTTCTCCTAAATTTCTTAACAAATTGAATTGTAAGATTAGCTGATTTTCCTGTAGAAACATATCAATCATGTTAGCACAGGATACTAATTCATCATAGCAGGCAAAGGTGCAACACAAGGGACAGAGTGACAACATCTCCTACTGCCTGCAGGTTCAGCCATGGCTTGAGGAGGGTTTCTCTGTCCTTAGGACCCATGCTTCTGTTGAGTGTTCATACTAGAAAGTAACGCCCTAGTAGACAGATGTCATACATACAAGACTCTGGGAAACTGTATACTGATAAGCAAAATGGTGGCATTTAAACAGTGTGGACTAGCATTTATAGGCAGTCAGTCCTGATTGGAAGGAGGAAAGAATGGTGGTGAACTGCAGGTCTGAAAATTCCCAGGTCTATATGATCACACTCAAGGTTGACTCACAAATAAAATGTGCAGGGAAAAAAGAAAACCTAATGGTTACTGACCAGGTTAGATGAGAAGAGTGAAGTTGGGAGATCATCCAAGATATAAAGTGATCCTTGGAGTTGTGTTCTTATGACAAGGTGGTTATTTGAGAACTTTGTGGTTGCCCAGTGCTGCCTCCTGACCTTTTCCTCAGGTGGCTTTAGATATAGACTCATTTCCATGGATCTTGGATATAGCCACAGGACTGAATTAAGTAACAAGTTTGTTTCCACAGGAAATAATTCCTAGACTGAAATTTAGTCTCCCTCACTTCCAGCCTTCCTTAAAACGAGACTTTCTGGCATGTTTCTATTTCAGTATTATGACATCTGAATTTAAAATAAATCAATTGAGATCTGATTTTGTCTAGAGAACTGGGAAATGCAGATGCGTATTTTTTCCCCCATTATTGTTGGAAAGCAGATGTTCAGAGATGTTTCACTGGAATTCAGGAATGGAGTTGTATTTCAAATCAAAAAATAGTTAAACATACCCTGGCAATATCTGTCTCCAACTTGCCACTGTAAATTACTGCCACACTTAGCAACAGGGTCCCCAACAAGAGAATATCCATGCCTGCAAGCATAAACAATGCTTTTCCCAGCAGGGTATAAGTTTTCAGCATTCTGAAAGAAAAAGAACAGGTGAAATTTTGGATACACTATCTAAAAACCACCAGCAGTGTTGAACTTCCTTTGATTCTGGAATGCAGTGGCTGAAGACAGCAAGAAGTATTAATGCCATTCTGCAATGCACTGGTAAGAGTGTCTAGCATACTGTGGGCAATTCTGGTTATCAATACCCAGCAAATGTAGTAAAAATGGAGATGATGCTGGTGGTTGGTAGAATACAGTGTATTTGGGCTATCTCCCTTAGCAAAGGGAGGGTTAGAGTTGAAGGTACCCTGTGACAGGGGTCTGGCAGTGGTACATCAGTGATGGAACAGTGCTATCCTGCCATTTTATGAATTGACTGCAAATATGGCTGTTGTGAAGCATTAGCGGGTTAACATAAGCTCTCGAACAGTCTTCCAGGGGAGAGTATATGCCTTTGCTAATTCTTAGGATGACACATTATCCGCTTCCTAAAGGTTAATGTGATACAGTCACTCAAAAGAGCTGGACTTGAAGACGTGAATCTTTTCTTACTTTAAATCTCACTTTCTTGTTTTTCTTTTATTTTTAGTGGGAAGTCTTGGCCAATGTTATGTAAACTTCAGCCAGGGAGAAATGCTGAGGGAGCTGCTATACAATAGCTCTGATACTAAACCTACCAAGATAAATACAAATTTACAAGTGAAAATCTGCATGAACTTTAACAGAGACACTGCAAGTAGGGGTAGAACAGATAACAGAGTAATAGAAATAACTTACTTGAACAAATCCATTTTCCAAGAGAGGAGGAGGTGAACAGAACTCTGTGGGAGTTATGGATAAATCAAAACAGTGTGGTTCAATCAAGCTATGAATCAAACAAAAGTACAATTTAGTTTGAATTCAGTCTCCCTTCCTTGCAAAATTCTACACTTTTCATTGAAGCCCAAGACTATTATGCATTGCATTTACATCACAAGTATACTTAAACTGGGAACTGCCAGGTTATCTGAGAGAATGCCAAATAGAATGGAGTCAACTTTACCAGCTTTTACTCAATTTTCTTCTCTTACCTTGTATCAGATTCACAGCTGTTGAATTTCATTTTGTTTCAACTTAAATAAAAAAGCTCAGTAAGTGATCTCCATCCTGAGTTCAATTGCTTATGCACCCTCCTGAAATACATTTTTAAACCTTCCTGCAGCTGTGTTCCAAACGGTTTTGTTTTTCTGCTTACCGAAAATGCTGCAACTCCTCATCTTCACATGATCTGCTTTCATGCTGCTCTCCTATGCAGGCCTTCCCATTGCCATGGGGGGATGGATTGTTGCAGCTCCGACTCCTTGATTTCCTTCCCCCTGAACAAGGACTCCAGGAAGACCAGCAGCTCCAGCGTCCATCAACAACACCTATGCAACGTTTGGGAATATTTCACATTAATCCTCTCTGTAGGTGATTTCAAGGCACAGGCTATTCAAAGCTAGTGATGGCCCAAACTGGGCCCTTACAAAGAATTCCAGGTTGCAATGATCTAATCTCACACCTTTCTCCAGCTTGCATTTTATGTAAGTATAATTCTACAGACGCTATTTGTTATCAGAGCCTTAGGGAAAATAAAAATATTTATTAGCTGCAATTAATTACAAAGTTTAAAAGCAAAAACTTTTGAAGTTACTGATACTCATTTAGTATACATACTTATTTCTAGAAGGTTACATTTTGAGCAGTTAGTATTTTCCACTGCATTTAACAATAATAAAACCAGTTCTTTGTTAAGTACTGTTTGGACAGGCTAAGACTCAGGCTTAGCATGACACTCTCTACCTATGCTGTATGTCTGCAGTGATATCTGGCCCAAGCAGACACTGCCCAGCAGCCACTCATTCAGTTTGTGCAGTGAGACAAACAGACCTCCAAAGTAGGAGAGCATACTTTGCCACTTCTAAACTCACAGGTTTAAAGAGCGCTAACCTGGCTGATCTTGCACGAGTCTTCCCAGCTCACAAGCTGCTCCAAAGGTGTAAGGCTTGCAGTAACACATGCACTGAGTTCCTTCCATGGCTGCCTCACCACCATTCTGGCAAGGCTGACATTTGCAGGGATCATTTTCAGCCATATATTCTTCAATGGCTTGTTTTAAGTAATGCTTTTTGACTGAGGAGCAGGGCACTTCCTTTACCAGCTCATATAATGGTGTTAGCTATACACAGTAGAGAAATATTTATATTAAATAGTGATAATCTGAATAATAACAGTTTATCAGCACATTTCATCATGCAAAATAATTTGTGACGTATGCTGCTGCCCATAGTGGTTGAAAGATGCTCTAATTTGCTATCTAGTTTGCTAAAACCTTCTGTTAGTATTTCATACCAGCCTTTTTCTGAAAAGTCAGACCTGTTTAATAGCATCCCTTAAAGCTAGCACTGGATTAATCATGTTTAAACATATTTGAGCTACGATATTATGGTTGAGATAAAAGTGTAACACAGACCATCAGTGCACAGTAACTTGAATTCTTACCCAGCTGTTCCTAGCCCAAGAAGCTGGACGCTTAAGCAATCCCTTATGGTATTTCATTGAGCAGCGACTGAAGGTAACAATAAGTGAAAACATTTTGCATTTCTCTTGCCTATTTTATGATATTCTGTGCTTTTACATTTAATTGAAAACTTCCTGTCAGAAATCTTTTGGGTTTATACTATTCTTCAGTACATGGTCAGTTCCCAAAAGAGACATAGACAAGGCAGCAGTGATTATGGCCATGCCCAACTTTGAAGTGTCTGGCTTCCGGAATCTCATTATGCTGAACTTCTGGATGATGAGAGAAGGAGGAGGGATAAAAGTGGTACAAAGAAGTTAGCAAGCTGAGTGGAGCCACACTGAAGTGGCCATATGTATTTCAGGAAATGGGCTATCTCAAATCTGGGCTTTCTCCAATGCTATCGTGACCCTCAGTTCTTAAGCAGAACTCCCCTGTAGTCACAGAAGGCTGGTAAGATTGATCTGTTAAATGACTTAGATTTGTGATGCAGCTGATTATGTTAACCTCATGGAATGTTCCTCCAATGAGCTTTTCTTTCTTATGAAGTGATCTGAAAACAACATGATTGCAGACTACAGCTTGATTAACCATAGCTTAATCATTTCTCCCCTTGAGGTGATCCCAACTGCTCATCTTTTCTTCAGGAAAATAGCCTTACCTTTTGTTTAATTACTCTGGGATAGTCTGTCACTGATCCAGCCCAAAACGAATATCTCTGACTATTGCCAGCAGGATCATTAAGCTCTAGATAATTAAGGCTGGCAACAGCACCTGGGCTTCCTCCTTCTATGTAGGGGTCTCCTTTAATCTTACTACCACTGCTTCCTGTAGATTCAGGATGAAAAATACAGAAAAATACCAGCATTGCTATATTCACAAATGGAAATAGAAACAATGCATGCAAAAAACTGTGCTAGCAAGTAGGGAAAGTACTCATTAGTGCACATCAACCACCTGTGCCTGGATCAAGAGCTCCTACGTTGATAATATGTAAGTATGTGGTTTTGTAGCTATCTTGGCAGCTGTGACTTAGGGTGTCCTGGAAAGTGCCAATTACTGGGAAAGTATTAGCAATGATTGATGAGAACTGGAGAGCCATGCACTTGATGTCTGGGTTGAGTGTGTTAAGGCAAACAGTTCAACAAAGCTATCAACACCTGCTTCAGATTTTGACAGCTACTTAGGAGGAGATGGAGGATGGAGACATGATAACTACACAAGTCACTGTTGAACACTTACCTGAAGAAGTCTGTAGCAGTTCATCCAGTTTGGAGCACTTTACTTTCTTCTTTTTCACAATGAATGCATTCCAACCTGATGTGGTGCAGTCGTACATGTCTGTTATAGTCATACCTGCAGATAATTGATGCTTTAAACAGTACTGTACACAGAAAGTGTGTTGGATTAATTTCTAAGTTTCCCACTGACTTGAGAGGTCATGAAAAATTATGCCTAAATTAGAAGGCAACCAACTAGCACATCCTGCTAGAGAAATAGGAGGTGTATCTGGAAAATGCTTATTTTTTATTCTATGATGTCATTTCTCAGCAGTCCCTAATTCTACAGCGCTGCTCCACACTGAGTACCATCATACCCGTCACTCTGGTGTTTGCTCTGTTTGTAATTTATTCTGCTTTACACAGTTTTATCCAACCTTCATCTCCAAGTAGCTCTTAAGATGTAGCATTATTTGAGATTTAGACTGGCACTAGAATTCAGATTTAGCCTGGGGAAGTCCTGAATGAATTATCAAATCTTTGCTATTCTGATCACAGCAGTTCACAGATGTGGGTCTAGAACTGAATGCTGTGGTTTGAGCACATTTTCTAGTCTCCTTTCTTTTGCCTGTGAAGATAATGTGGTGACTAACATATGTCTCTTCCCTGATTTTAGACACTAGCTGGCAGAGCATGCAAATAAATTTTTATTCCTGTATATTCGCTTAGATTCTTGTAACCAATACTCTAGTACTCTACCTTCTGCTTTCATTTTGTCAGTATCCATATAAAAAATAATTTTGTAATATCCTCCTAGAGATCCAGAGTGCAAGAAATGAGTCCCAAAATGTTCAATAAGTCTTCGGTAGGCATTGTACTCATAGACGACTGGAAGGTTGGCCAGTTCCCTCCAGAAGGACTCCGCAAGAGTAAGAAATTCTGGGTGGTTGTTAATAAACTGGGCAACTTCCATGCTGTTCTCAACAACCATCAGCTGCTTACTCTGGGGAAAGGAAAAGATGTTAGTCATGCCGCATGTTACTGTCAGGGTGGTTCCTACTATCCAGATGACATGCACATTATATTGGACACTAATCAACAGCTTATACAGAGCTGTTAGAGATATCTAAGCAACTTGGTGAATGCAAAAAAAAAAAAAAAAAAAGCCCCACTCTGAAAATAGAAAATATCTTTTGAACCTTTGTTTATAACTGCTGCAACATCTTTATTTTTTTCCTATGTGCTGGAAAGGTAGCATAGGGACAGACAAGAAAGCAAAGTATCATTCTTCAAAGCTAATGGTGCTGTCCAACACCAGCAGCCTGGCAGTAGCAGGTTAACAAGCCTTGTCTGAAAGCAAATTATAGGCAGTTAGAGAGGTCTTCTTTGTACCCTGTTTTGTCTGAAGAAGCCTTCCTTTGAAAGCAGCTCTAGCTGAATTATAAACTCTCATCTGCCTATCCCATATTCCTTACCTGAGCTTCTCGAAGTTGCTTTTGAACTTTGTTAGAGTAAGTCTCAAAATATATTATTGTTAGTGCAGTAAAATGAGCTTTTCTTCTGTCAGCTTTGGGGACATAAAATATATGAATTTCTTACTTGATTTTTTATTTATACTTGATTATACTTCACAATTGAGAGTTACTCTCTATTTATTTAATGCTCCTTTTTAGATAAGTCAACAGCATAAGCACTGTAACCTTCAGGATGTTTAAAACAGAAATCTTAATGAGTTTCTGTTAGTGGAAAATGAATTACATAACAAATACACTTTAATCACAGATGCTGATAGAAGTAATAGGGAAAAAAAAGGAGTAACTCATTAAACAAAAACGCAAAAGATTAATTAAATTTTTCTTCCTCAAATAGGGACAAAACCAGATAGTAAGTAAATAAATTGCTAATAGGTAAAATGGAGAAAATAAAAACAGCAGCCAACACTTCTTAGTTGATAACCAAACCAGTGATCTCTTTGTAAAAATTTTTATGGGATTTTTATTGTTATGCACTTTGTGCCAGAAATATCTGGATAAAATTAATACTTGCATCTCACTATATAATTACATGAAAGAATATGAAAATATTTATGAAAATTACTAAGCCACGGTGACAACATATACATACTATATACATACCTTTTGGCTGTGCTGCAGAATTTTATTCTGTGAATAACTGTGCCCATGGTTTGAGTTTTCATACCTCTCTGTGTGTTTCATGTAAGACCAGCTGCTGTTGAAAAACTCGTAACTGAAATCATTCTGAATTTTAACCTAGAATATAAAAGACAGAATTCTGTATAAAGAGCTTCATGAAGGATGTTAAAAATGATAATTTATAGGGTAAAGCAAGTCCTTCCTGATGCAAAAAATCCGATGTGTTTTCCAGGCTGAATCCATTTCAGATTTCATGAAAAGTAGTGAACACTATTGGAAAAGCATTACATGTATGTATTCATATACTAACTATTTACGTTATAGAGTAAAGTACATTAAGGATTGCTTAGCATGTTTTTGATGAATGTGAAGTGACCCAAGTCTCTGAGACTTCAAAGTATCTCTCTGGAAGATTTCCACAAAGCCTTGTGCACATACGGAAATCCCATCCAACAATATATACCACCCAATAACATTTTTTTTCCCTTTCAATTTAGCAAGATATACACCAGTTTGTATTTCAAAATATTAAGTGACTGCAGAGAAGAAACAGGTGTCATTCAGCTGAATTTAGGAAACCTGCCTACCAAGAGAGCCTACAAGCTTTGCATCACTCTTCGTTTTAAGCATGACTCTGAATACAAAGCTGTGTTTAATGGAAACATACCTGAAAAGTATAAGCAAGAACACTTTCACTAAGCCTGTAGTATTCTCTCCTATCACCACTGAAGACCTTTCTGCACTGTCCTGCAAAGCTTTTTGTATGAATGACTCTTCCCCTTGTATCACCAGTAATGGCATCAAAACTATGAGAAGAAAAATATGAAGAGTCAGTAAGACAGAGAGGTAGCAAATTATTTTACAGGAAGCAAAAATTACAAAGCCATCATAACTGAATGCTGCATCTTCAGATAAAGATCACAAGCTGATTTACCCAAAAGAAAGGGGGATATCAACCAAACAACTTCTATACCTGCAGAACTGCAATGTGCAGAGCATGTTACAGTATGGAAAGCAAAATTTTGCTCTTTTTTTGTCAACAGAAATGAGCACCTATCTCTTAACTTTAAGACATTCATATGTATCACAAATGATTTGATCAAGTTTAATTAAGCAACACCACACATAAACAACAAGGCTTCCATTCCAAAATGAGTTTTTTTATTATACCTGATTTATATTGCATAACAATAATTTATATTGTAGTGACACAACTACCCTAAAGAAACTTAAGATAATTATTTTGCTAGGTTGTAAGTGGGATGTATAAACAGAAATCCATATGGATCCACAGCACTAAATGCAAAGGCAAGGAAGAAGAATAATGAGCATTGCTAGTTCATTTTTTCCCTGCTGATGATCATGTGGTATTGGTTGACATTTCATTTCATATCTTAAAAGATGTTTTTCAATAGCAGGAGTGAAAAATAAAAAGCTTTATTCTGTGCTTCAGATCAAAGGGTCTGCACGTTCTGGCTGCACTGAGCCGTTAGCATGATGGAAACCATTGTACTGAACAGTTTTGCATATGGAACATTTTACCGTAAGCCCAGGAAGCTTATTTGTACAGCCAGAGCTTGTAAATACTACAAAAATGTCAATGCACTTGGCGCCAGTACTCCTGATTCTAGCACAGAACATTACCCTGTTCCTGTAAGTTCTGAATTCGGAGGGGTTTTATCAATATCACATACAGTCTTCTTCTCTTCACATCGATCTTCATCTGCACCATCCTCCTCACAATCCTGATCTCCATTGCATACAAGAGATCTGCTAATGCACTGACCTAAATCAGAACAAAAATGCAGAGGGAAAGAAGTGTTTGTTCATTTAAAAATAAATCACCTAAATCAAAGCAAAAGTCCCAGTTAGCTACTACACTAATTAGCTTGCTCTCACTCATGGTGAAGTCTGTGCCCAGGAGGGCTTGTGAAACACCAGTAAACGTAGACATAAAGAAATGTTTTAGAGTACACTTGAGGGAACCACAGCAATTTGGGGCTTATGATATATTAATAAAACAGTTGACTTCTAGATTTATTTCCTGGGCTTTCATCCTTTGATCCCATCACTTGTGATTAATTATGATTATCTCTCTGGTAGCACCAAAACACGTTTACCATGCTCCTCTTTGACAAGTGTCTACCAACTGAGACAATGCACTTTTCTGTGAAGGCAATGGAAGCTGCTATTCTAGGACTATTCTAGGAAGCACCAGTTTCCATGACCCAGGTGATTTCCAAGATGTTTGTATACAGCCTAGCTTTGAACAATAAAATCTAAGGTTGCATTCCTCAGTTACCTTCTTGTAAGGTCTCTGGGTCAAACAAGGCAGAATGACTACAGAGGCTACCAGAGCTGCAGCCTATTACCTGCAAAGCTCTGCAACACTCCAGATGAATAAAAAACATGCATAGTGGAGGATGGAATTAAGGAAATATCCTCCTAAATCAAATTTATATATAGGTCAAGGGTTCTGCAAAGCCATTGCCCATTTACTAAAGTTCAAAGATAACAAGGTTATCTTCTTAACTTTATGTCCAGAAAACGGTGAAAAAGATCTTGGATAGTACCTGAGTAACACCTGAAACGATCACCACAGCCATCCTCTGTTGGGCATCCCCCTGTGGTGGTGCATGGTCTTGTTTCAAAGGCATCCCCAGAGCAGGGGTTTCCCCCATACTGGCCATAAACTGCTACTGTCCGTCTACGAATCTGAATGCAAATCAAGGGAGAACTCAGAAACCCAAATGAAAAGCAGGAACAGTCTGCTAGTGTCAAGACAATGCTACCACTCTACTGCTGTAAGGAAATTAGACATTCACTGTTTTTTCTAATACCCACATTTGCAATTACCACAATATGGTAACAAGTTAATAAAATGACAACTATTTTATCTACAAGGTCTTTAGACTGATGCACAAGCTTGGCTTTTTTGTTCAAAAAATCTGATAAGTAACTGAAACCAAGAGAAAGCCGCTGACAAATCTCAGTTTTGTTTTACATTTTTAATAGGACAAATCATGCCTGATATGAATTTGCCAAAGTTCTTCAAAGTAAACAGTGTCATTAAGGAATATGCTAAACAAGTGGGCTATTTGTTGCTTCTAAAAAGAGGAAGTACTGTCTCATGGCACAGCTCTAATTTTGATTAATTCCTCCCTAATTGATGCAACATCAAAGTAAATGAGAAAGAAAATCAAAAGCAAGTATCTTGAACATCAAGACAGTTGCACCGTAAAAAGAATCATTTTGCTTTCATTGAATATAATACTCTGCAACCAACTCTTCTTTCCTTGAGATGTGACACGACTAATGAAAAATCAGCAGAATTGGTACAAACCAGCATCAGTGGAGGAATATCTCTGTTAACTGAACAATTGAGTCAAGCTTTTTGGAACTATCACCAAAATAAAAAGTGCACAAATTATTTTACAACATAAATATTGTAGCTTTGAAAGGGAATAGATTTGGGACAGACTGGAGGATTTCCCTTCTGAGATTTTTGTTCTTCAGCCTTCTTGATCTGCTGGGGCTTTTGCTTGACACCGGATTTGGAGTTTTAAAGATACAAGGCTCCTTAATTATTGGCAAAAAGCATACGCTTATGAAGTCACGAATACAAAACAGAAGTGTCCATCTATACCTGGTTTTGAGTACAGCCATTGCACTCAGACCAAGGGCCAAAAGAATTCCAGCTGCAGTGGACTGGAGAGGAAGGGCTACTCCAGGAGTATTTTCCAAATTATATAAAAAAAAAAAACAAAATAGAAATATTATCAGACATTTCTATCCCTAAGCATTATTGCAAAACATCTCTAAACAGCAACACAGGTCTACAGTAACAGTTAGCAATATGATCAGGCTCCCTCTAAAACCACTTGGATTTGCTTTTCACGTGTATGAATGCAATCAGACCCAGCTTGGGCTTTCCAGACACTGAAAAGAAGAAAGTAGGCACATTTACCTTGCCTGAAGATCAGTAAGGACTTTGTTCAACCATAATACAAGCTTCAAAGACCAGCTTCATGCTGCAAAGCAGGGAGCAGACAGACCACATCTGGGAATGGGAGGGAGCTGCCAGGGGCTGTGTGTGCCGTGGCATGCAGCAGACCTTCCCACAGCAGCTCCCAGAAATTTGCCAACAGGAGGCACTGAGGGTGCAACCTGCCCCTGGGATCCAGGCTGCTTGGGGCAAGCTGTGCTGTTTCACACATGTAGACAGACTGCTGTGGCTCATACCACTGCTGTGTGCTCTTTTCCTGATGGGTGGCTGACTCCTCTGGGAAGAGCTGAGGGAGACCATAACATCTCACTCTTGTCACCACTGATGGCAGTGGCAGTCCTGACACCAATCAGTGTCTTTTCTCCCAGGAAATATATTTGAGACCCATGTCATGCACCAGAAGTGCATGTCTGTTAAATTACACATGCTTAGTCTTTGGCATGTAATTTATTAAAGAAATATTCACCTGGAAAAAGTGGAAAAGAAGCCTGAAACTTCCAGCAACAGAAACATTCCCAGCACCTGAAAAAAAGAGGAGCAAAAGCAAACTTACTTTCTGCTTTTTCCTCATGCAGCTCTTCTAACTTTCTGCAATCTTTACACTCATCAGCTTAAGAAATAATGGAGTGTAGTGCTTATTCAGCTTTGTTGTGCAAGCTGTTGTTTTTTTATTTCTCTCCTTTCTCAGAATACTACCCAATTGCATTCAGCTAAGTAATTCTCCATATAAATTAATATTTCATTGTACATATCATATTCACTTCATCAGTATGAATTAAGAAAGCAATTGTCTTACCTTCATGTTAGATGAAATACTTGGATATCCAGCAATTACCAGGGAAAATGCACTTCCACTCAATTAAGCAGCCAAAGGAGTCGGTCAGTCTGTCTGCTACTATATGTCTCTTCGCACTCTGCCTTGCTTTTCTGCTCTTGTTTCCCTAAAAAGGCTGAATGTTGCCAAGGACTTTTAACTCCTCTAGTCCTCTCCAGGGACACAGCCTGCTTTGGGAGCTGCTTAGGGTTTTTAAGACATATAAATCAAGGCCTGGTGTACTGACTGGGGCTGGCACAAAGTTCTGAAAAGTGCTTACTGGAAGAACAATAATCTTTCCTTTATCTTGCATCTCACAGTTTCTTTCCTATGAACAAGACTTTTCAGAGATCCCAGGCCAGTCCTGGTCACATACTCTGCACCACAGCTGAGCCCTCAGCTTCAGTAGGAAGTAGGAATGAAGCTGATGTTGTTACATTTTAATTTTGATCATGCAGTCCTCTGTCTCCACTTCTGCAGTTTCTGATTTTTGTGTATCAGCGAAATCAGCTTATGGGTCCAAATGCAAGTTTAGGCAAATTCTGCCTGATGGTACTGCCGGTGAAAGACTTCTTAAGATCACACACAACCCCTAGTTCTAGTGACACATCAACAGCTGGCTTTATGTGGGGATGCCCCTGAAGTGTAAAAGCACTCCATTTTCTCTTTCCTCACCCTGATATGCGCTCTTATTTTTTACTATTTTTTTTTTTTCACTTGCCAGAGTTGGTCCATTATAGCAACAGCAAGAAAATGCCACTGTTGAGAAAATGTACATTAATTTATCCTAATGGAGCCTGGATGAAGCCCTCACGGAGAAGCAGCGCCCCTCTGAAAACTCTTCATATACTACATCTCAGATACTACATCTATTTTGTACAGTTTAACAGTCCTCAGGAAACTAAATGCTTCATGTCACAGCATTACTACATGGTGACTGTTTAACCTTGCTCTCTTTTGGCATGGTCTGCTTTCCTTAAGAAGATGCCCAGATGTTGGATCACATTACTCCATCCATGTGAGGGATGCCTATGCCTATGTCCACTCCTCAGAAGCTGGCAACCCCAGAGACAACTTAGCTAAGCCAGAGCGTGTTTTAGGGACTTTTCAGGTTAAGTAACTATGAATCTCTTTGTTAATGTAATTCATACACTTTTCATCATTTCTGTACATTTGTTGTCTTTGATCAAAATCCTCATGTGCGTTTTAAATTTTATGGGACCAGTTTGTGTAAGATTGTCCGTGGTCATTTGCTATGAAGGAAATATTAAAACTGAGTTAAGCCCTTTAATACCTGTCCCAGAATACGGGAACTCTAAAAATATTTTGTCTTGATCCTGCAGTTAGCTGTTTTAATGGCTTAGATAGCAATTTCATTTTCTGTAAGTACATCATTAGCTATAATAACTCTCAAGATAAATATATACTGTGATTTGCTTACAAACAAAACACACAAATAAACATAAGAGGACAAATACAGCTAGCGAAGAAATTACGGCGGGGATCTGCCCTTCATTAACAGGTAGTAAAATCATTGGTAATACTGGGTATCATATTCCAATGAGTTTATATAGATGGAATGTCTTCTTGCAGGAAGCATTTCAGCAAGACAAATATGTTGCTTTAGTAGATGCTGCACGACAGTACTTTTAGTGCATATTTTCAGGCACCTCAGCTCAAACACTTTTTCCATTTGAATCAGGATCTTGCTTTTTTATTGAACCTGGCTTCAGCAGTAGCAAAATCAAAGAGACTGAACCGACAAGGTGCAAAACAGAGGGAGGTTAGAGCTGGAGTTGTGTCACTCCTAGGACTGCAACTCCACAGGTCCCAAGACGCTTTACTGGTTTGCACTGTATGGATGTTCATTCAGTCTCCTCTACAACAGAATGGTTCATTCTTCTTTCATTTCATAGGATACTTATAGTAACCTTTTTTTCTACTTAGCTTTTAGACTCTGGACCATTAGATAGCTTCCCTCTTTCATGTGATTTTGACACTTAAGACTATGTGCAGTTGCATGGTGAGGCACTGGAACAGGGTGCCTAGGGAGGTCGTGAATTCTCCATTCCTGGCAGTGTTCAAGACCAGGTTGGACGAGGCCTTGGGTGATATGGTTTAGTGTGAGGTGTCTCTGCCCATGGCAGGGGTGTTGGAACTAGATGATCTTAAGGTCCTTTCCAACCCTAACTATTCTATGATTCTATGATAATCTACTTACACTGCAATTTCGTGATGAGAGACTATGCAGCACCTAGCACAAACCCAGTCTGATTGATATGCACTTCTACAATAACATAAATTATAAGAAAAGGCCTGATAGAAAGAGCTGACTGCATGGTACTGAGGTACAGAATGTAGCTTATAGGAAAGACAGGGCTCATTTTCCCTTACTGTTAGTGAAAATAGCAACAATCTACTATCCATTTTGCCATTAAAAATGTGTTTTATCATAGCAACTTTAAGTTTTTTGCTAAACATTTCTATGCTTTACTTAGAAATAAACTGCCTTCAGGCTTAAAACCAATGGTTTAGGGGGATAAAAGAGGAGCAGTTTGACAGACACAAAGCGTTAGCCATAAGGCAAGGCATTTCTGGTCTTGCACCAGATGATAATTCTAGCACAAGAATGATTAATGCAATGCTTCACTTGCTGGGCTAATGATATCCTGCCTAGTCTGGAGACAGCATGAAATGGTATTGTCCAAATTCTACTTCACACTAAGGTCAGCCAGAATATAATTATATCAGCAATATTTCCCTGTAGACTTCTAGCCTTTTATAGGATTGATGCTAAGGTTACTCTATAGTTTACGAAGCTTTAAATAGTCTTGTGTCTTCATTATGTATTAAGGCATTAAAGACAGCCTGTGCTCTGTGACTGCTGCAAATGCCAAGGATCCAGTGACAACTGAGTAGAGAAAGAACATCTTGTCATTATGGTTTTAAATTGTGAAACTGACTTGGAGAGTTTCTGGATTTGTTTCTGTTTGCTAATGACATCTCACTTTTTTTTTTTTTTTTTAAGCATTTTAATTGCCTATTTTACTTTTAATGTATTTGTCACATTTCAAGGATTAATGACAATGCCTCGGGATGTGTCTCTATGAAATATGTCAGATAGGATTACTGCTGTGCTAACTGTAATGCAAATGATTCTCTCTCAGGGGACCTTGTAGAAGGATTCTGCCTTAGATACTAGAATCCATATGCTGCAGAAACTATACAAAAAGGGCTGTGAGAGTTCAGTTTTGAATGAACTGGGTTGGAAGAAAAGAGCTCATGTTATTTTAATTCAAAATTCACAGAGCTTTAGTAGTATATATGTAATAAATCAGACTTGTCTAGAGCACAGACATTTCGGCCTGGGTGCACACAACTGTGGGCAAACAAATAATTACTGTTCTTCAGGATTAGGTTCTGATCTTAGGACACAAGACAAGGTGAACAAATTCAGCAGCTTGAAACTGCACAAAATGGTGAGTTACTATTCTGCTTTTTCCACATTTTCTCCTGCTTTCATTTCCAGTCCCCACAATGTGTTCCTTCTGCACATCTGGGTTCTGTCTTTGGCACAATTTGGTCCTCCCTGTGAGCCAGTTTAATTTATTACAATGACAGAAAATAACTTTAGCAAAAAATCTTGTGGTTTTGTGCTGGTTTAATGAGTTAGATCATCTCTCAGGAAGGTCTAGTGGGCAACAGACCCAGGAAAAGGTTAAAAACATACAACCATGGAGGAGAGAGAGGAGAGAAAAGAAGCGGGAAGCGTGAGAGGAGGGAGGGCAGCAGGAAACACCTCTGCTTGCAGATGCAGCCAGCCACTGCATCTCCTCAAATGCCAATGAATCACCACCTTGCACAAACTCTTCTGGTTGCTGCTCATCCTACAGCAGCAGATTTAGAGCACCCCTGCTCACTCTTCTGGATAGAATTGTGGCATCAAAATTCACAATTCACTATCCTAGCTACTGATCAGCTGCCTGACAGACCTGGTTTAGGTTGTGATAGAAGCTGAATACATATTTTTCATTTCTACCATTACTGATACTTGCCTCCCTGAGACATCCCACTTTCAGCATGAAAAAAACTCCTAAGACCATCTGTCATTGAAGATAATTGCAATGGAAGTATGGATAGTAAATATGAGTGAGATTTCCAATGACCTTCATCAGTCAGGTACTCCTTGAAAATCATACCCAGAGAGCTCACAGGGGTCAGGGCTTCTGCACAAGCTCTTCTGAGAGATCACCTGCCAGCTATGTGCAAGAACAGAGTACCTACAATAGATCCATATGCTCTCACATTGCTGTCCAGCAACAGAGAGGCTCACACATACATAAAACAGGTGAATTAAATCAACTTTAAACACTGAAAAGTCACATGAAACAGTCTGAAGTGGAAGTATTACTGCATTTGTGTTAATAGTGACACAAAACCCCACATAGTCTTTAAAGGGATGCATCAGAAATGAAATCATTTGGACGACTGCAGGCCCCTTTGCAAGCAATTAACCCTCACGGTCAGACAAAGTCAATTTTTCACATGTATCCAATGAAATAAATTTTTATGTATTTTATCTTGTACTTTTCTATATCAACTACTAATCTACTTTATAGTTTAATAAACTCATAAACAGCTTTATATGACTGCCAGAGACAGCAGTTATCTTGAGTTACTGATCCAGAATTTCTCTTTAAGCTTGATGTCTTGGTGCTTTTCAAAATACCATCTCTTTATGATTGTTCTTTTAGAATGAATAGAATGTCAAACATCATCCATTAGCAACCTTGCCCATGCTTTTATATTTCTGATTCTTTCTGAATCAGTAATATATGTGCATCATATATTTTAGAATTATTATTGTAACTACTTGGAAATCTAAAATGTTCCAAGCAGCAAACTTTGAACAAAAATTGTTCGTTAAAGTCCATCAATCTCCCTCTGAAAATGTCCAAGTATCTTGAAATTAAAACCTAAAAAACAAACAAACAAACAAAAAAGAAAACAAAAAAAGAGATTCATTAAGCAGAACAAGGATTCCTATCCTAAAAGGAGAGTTAGGGAAGAAAATTAAGGTAGGACTTCAAAGAAACAGATCTTATTAGGATGTCTTTTTGAACTACGACATTTTTAGGACAATCTGAAGTCCATTAAAAATTTTGTCAGCTTACTTGAGAATTCAGTAACTAACCCTAACTGCTACTGTGACACTTTCTGGAATGAGCTTTTCTAGACACCTTCCAGCTGGAACCAAAGTTCAACAAATAAAGTAAGCTTTTGCAAACTTGCACGGAGACAACGGAGATGCCGAGCATTGTGTAGAAACGGAAATGACATAGCATTGACTTTTGTCCCCTCTTAATCTGGTCTGGCTATGAATACAACCATCACACTGCAATAAATGAAAACACATACCAGTAATAACGTTGTAATCACAGAGATTCACCTGAGCTCCAGAGAAACTTAGGTGCGCGCAACGCTTGTTATTTCTTCTAACATTTATGAGCCATTGTCCTGGGTTCAGCAGTATCAGTCATTTTTCTCCATAGTAGCTAGTGCAGTGCTGTGCTTTTGACTTTCAGCCTGGGAACAACACTGATAACACCAATGTTTTCAGTTGCTGCTCAGTAATGTTTACTCTGACCAAGGACTTTCTGAGTCTCATGCTCTGCCAGGAAGGAGGGGAAGCTGGGAGGAAGCAGAGACAGGACACTTCATCCAAACTAGACAAAGAGGTACTCCATACCACAGCACGTCATGCCCAGCATAGAAACTGGGGGCCCGGAAGGGCCAGATCACTGCTCGGCCGGGCTGGGTGTCGGTCGGTGGGTGGTGAGAGGTTGTATTCTCTTCCCTTGTTACTTCCCTTATCATTATTATTATTGGCGGTAGCAGTAGTGATTTGCGTTACCTTAGTTACTGGACTGTTCTTATCTCAATCCGTGGGAGTTATATTCTTTCGATTCTACTCCCCATCCCTCTGGGAGTGGGAGGGAGAAGGGGGGGGGGGGGGGAGTGAGAAAGTCACTGCATGGCTGACTGAGTTTAAACCACGACAGTTCTTCTTGGCATCCAATGTGGGGCACGAAGGGTTGAGATAACGACAGATCTGATCAGAGTGCACCTAATCGTATTTGTGATAAGCATTTATTGTTTTGGGTAAATAGTCACTTATCACAATGCTGATTTATTTGCTCTCAAAGTTGTTGCTCTTGATTTCACAATTTCACCATGTTGTATCTTACTTACAGCTGGTGTTTGCTGTGTTAGCGTTTATTGGCTGGGGGCCTTGGGCTAAGGTTCTTGTTTCATTGTACTTTA